GCAAATATTCACAGAAAGTTTACTGGATGCCAGGGACCAGGTACTGGGGATACATAGGGGCTGGTATTCTAGTGGTCAGATAGGCATGTAGGAAGCAATTATGGAATGAGGTATGTGCCCTGGAGTGGAAGGGTTTTAGATTAGACCAGGAAATACTGCCCCATACTCTCCTCTTAGCCATATCTTGGGTTTCAAACTCTGCCCATCTCATCCTGCCCACCCGCTCTGGATTGGATGATCCTAAGTGATTAGAAGGTGAGAGGAGATGAAACATTTCCGAATGGCCTAAAGTTTTTCCATCCTTTTATTTTATGGCTATCACTAGAAATAGGCCCAGCACATGGTAAACACAGGCCCTGATCCTGCATGGTGTGTGTGTGTGGGGGAGGGCACTGGGGTTTGAACGCAGGGCCTGCACCTTGAGCCACTCCACCAGCCCTTTTTTGTGATAGGTCTTTTCGAGATAGGGTCTCACTAACTATTTGCCCAGGCTGGCTTCGAACTGCTATCCTCCTGATCTCTGCCTCCTGAGTAGCTAGGATTACAGGAGTGAGCCACCTGCTCCTGGCATGATCCTGCATGTTAACATGGCTTGTCAGACACGAAGTTTTTCATAACCTTGGTTTCTCATGGTAAAGTTAATATCATCAGTAGCCATAGGACTAAACTTTAAAGTTGCCATTTGAGTATTTCCTCTGTTCCATGTCTCCTGGTCTTCATGCCATCATTGTCCTTCAATTTTTAGAAAATACAGAATGGTTAGGAAGGGCTGACTCAGGTAGATTTACTTTTTTATTTTCCAGGGTCTCTTGAAATGAAAATGCAGTGTAGCTCACTACTGAGCAGGGTTGAAAATATTTGCTCTACAGGTGGGGCAGTCACATTGCCCATGTGTTATAAAGGAAAACACAATTTTTATCCCAAGCTTGTATGCGCTTTAGTGCCACAAAAGGAATGAGTAAGTATATACCTTTCTTCTTGCATGATCTTAAAACAAAATTAAGTAACAGGCTATAAAGAGTCTTTCTCAGAATCTTATGGCTCGTTAGCACCACAGCGTGCACTGGAACCATTCTTGGGTGTCCTGTGCTCCTGCCAGTTTAAAAGAGGAATGATCACCTCCCTTTCCCTTTCTCTAGTACATTCAGAGCAGGTTAATCCTTCCTGGCACTCTGTGTCCTGACTGGCCTTTAATACCTTCTAGAAGCAAGCCTGATTTTTGGAATTGTTCTGTAAACGGAAGTCAGCCTCACTGAGCAAGTGCACATACAAGCTCTTCATAATGTCCTACCAGCTTAATTAAACTGCAGAAGCAGAAAAGTAGTTAGGCGCCAGCAAAATGAATGGATGTAAGTCATCTGCGTAGTTAGAGATCTTGTCACATAAACCTAACAGCTTGGGTATGCTGATTTTCCAACTGAAAAAAAAAAAATCAAAGAAAATTCTCACATATCTCCACTCTAATTTTGGTTCAGACCCTGAGTCATCTTCAGAGTCAGAGAATTTGTTTATAATCATACAGAAACACCATTTCTGCCCTCATACTATGTTTTTGTAAACCAACAGAAAACAAGGAGAACAAGATCAGTACAGCAAAATTTCATCTTCACTGAAATTAGGAAATGCTCAGATCTGAAACCATAATCCTGTGTGTGATAAGGGGCTTTCAGATTAGTGAAAACTGTACCGGGGTGAAGACAGAGGGAGAAGTCTGAAGACTTTGAACTTTGAGGGTGCAGAATTCTCCAAAGGAAACATCAGAGCTTGAAACAAGGTCAGGATGCATCACTTGAGAACAGTGTGTTGTCCGCACTGAGTGGCCTCAGATACATAAGAATGTACAGCCATCTTTGTTGATAATGGGCAGGTAGGTGGAGGATGAACTGTGTGTGAGAACGAGTAGCCCTCTAGCTTCTACATCTGCCCAAGAGGAGCGAAGAAATGAACTGTGTACCAAAAACTCCATCAGGTGGTTTCACTGGGAGGAGGGCAACATTCAGCCAGCCCAGAGCCACTCAATATACACAGGTACTAATGGGAAGGTTTCTGGAGGCAACAGTTCAAAGTGTCTGTTTGCCTAGTCCTTAGCCTCACTATCCTTTCTTCAGTGACTCAGGAATAACATCGCTCCTCTCAGTTCAAGGATGGACAATTAAAAGAGAGTCAATGAGAGACCTATGTGAACATTTAAAAACATCTCTCTTTCCAGGCATGGTGGTTCATGCCTGTAATCCCAGTACTTGGGAGGCTGGGAAAAGAGGATCATAAGTTCAAGTCCAGTCTCAAACCAAACCAAACGAACAAAAAAACCCCCAAAAGCATCTCATATGCAAACAGAGATAGATGAATAAAACACATTAGAAATCTTGCCAAAGCAAGTGACAATTAAGGCATCATATTTCTCCAAAAGGCAACGTGGCATCTCACCTAACCTAGGCGATCATCCTACAGAACTTTATCCATCAAAGTAGCCACAAGTACTTGAAATATGGAGCAACTTAGTAACTAAATTTTTGTATTAATTTAAAAATTGATATTCATTTCAATTATTGGAAAACTTAAGCATGTTTATAATAACTTTTCAGCTTAAGTATTGCCAATAAACACACAGTGCCTTGATGAGATGTGCAGCATCCCACTGGAGTGATACTTTTCATAAATATATTATGAAAGTTGTGGCTAATGGAGTGGTTCAAGTGGTAGAGGGCCTGCCTAGCAAACGTGAGGCCCTGATGCTTTTTTAGTACCACCAAAACACCTCCCAAAACAAATGTATTATGAAAATTAATCTTACTCTTTTCTTTTTTGCTTTTTTTACATGGCTAATAGGAAATGTTAAATTATAATAGAAAACAAAAGAACTGGTTTATTTAAAAAAATGTACACACGGTTCAAAGTAGGAAAACACAAAACCCAAAATCAAAAACCAATAAATCCCAAATCCAAACCTGCAAACAGATATTCAGTGAATGTATATTCATACAGGAATGTTTTAACATATATACATAATGTGAAATGGGCTAGAGTGAATTAAGTTTTGTCAGTGGGATTGAGGGATTGAGGAAATAGCCACAAAGACTGTTATAGAAAGAAGCGTGCATAGAAATGTCAGTAAACTCAGTTTTGTCAAACTGCCATTCCAATTCTACATAGATGCATGTATTTGGAAAATATATCCTGAAACCGAAATTAACAAAAGAACAGTGATTACATCTCAGGTTTTTTAAGCTGGGTTGTGTGTACGTGGGAATTGGGGACCATGAAAAGAAGGAAAGGAAGTAGAAAGAAAAAAATCTGTCAGTCACCTTTTTGTTACAGTGACAAAATACTAAAGATAATCAGCTTTTAAAGAAGAAAGGTTTATTTTGGCGTACAATTTCCAGACGTTTCAGTCAGTGATCACTTGTCTCTGTTGGCTTGGCCTGTGGTGGTACAGTATATCATGATGCGAGTGTGTTCACTTTGTGCTGGCTCAAAAGTAGAAAGAAAGAGCAGGGGCTGTCCTAACATCCCCCCTGAGGGCACACCCTTAGTGACCTAACTTCTACTAGGCCCGATCTCCTAAAAGATCTACCGCCTCCCAGCTCGCTACAGGCTGGGGGTCAAGCCTTCAACACAGGGGCCCTTGGGGAACATTCAAGATCAAACTTCAACAAATGTCCACCTCTCCTCTTCCCCTAGCATATATATTATCTCCTTTATGTTGAATTGTACACATGTGTGCATACACCTATAATAAGCAAGGAAGAAGGGAAGGATAAAGCTAGAACTATAATGGTTTGCAGGAATGTCCACGATCTATTACAGCTAAAAAGAAGGAAGGTGAAGGTAATAAGTAAATAAACTTATTCTATTTGTGTAGCAGTAACAAAGTCCCCAATTATCTATGTTTACACAAGCAAGGAAAAAGGAGAGTGTGCTGGTCAGTTAACAGGAACAAAATGGGGTGTGTAAGACTGGCAAGACAGCCAGTGTGAACAGGGTGGGGAGAAAGCTGTTTAGTCATATTTATATATACATCTTTGCATTTTCTTTTCTTTTCTTTTTTTGCTGTACTGGGGGGGGGTCACACTCAGGGCCTTGAACTTGTTAGGCAGGTGCTCCACCACAACCATCAGCCATTTTTACATTTTTTTTTTTTTTGAGGTAGGGTCTTGTTCTATGCCTGGGCTGGCCTGGACTGTGCTTCTCCTAGTTTTGTTTCCATGGCTAGATGGGATGACAGCATGAACCACTGTGTGTAGCCATTGGTTGAGATAGGAGTCTTATGAACTTTTCCCTTGGCTGGCCTGGAACTGAGGTCCTTCCGATGTCTGCCTCTAGGTAGAATTGCAGGTTTGAGCCACTGTGGACAGCCTTTCTACTCCATTTTTTACAATATGCATTTAAAAATTATAAATGGCTATTACCCTTTTACTATTTGAAAAGAAAACTTAATAAATAGGGTAGCAATTGTTTTCCTTGAAACAAGCAAAGAAGCTCAGAGAAGAGTGACAAACATTCAGGAACAGTAATGACAAAAGACAGAATTTAAAAATTAGTTTGCCAGACAGACACTCTAGAAGCAGCAAAGAGCTTCTTAGGTTAAAATGGAATAAAAAAATTCAAAGAGTCAAAAAGGATTAGAGAGAAAATAGCAGCTATAGAAGACAAAGAGAAGCAAAATATGAATAATTGGCACTCTTGATATACTACCATAGGCTATAATAAAGTCACAGAGCAAAAAAGACAGGCAAATATACATTCCTAATGACTAAAAACCAAAAAGGTACAAGAAAATCTGATACAATCAAAGTTTTAATATATCTTTTTTCTTTTGTGCAATATTGGGGATTGAACCCAGAACTTTGTGCATGCTAGGCAAGCACTCTACCACTTGAGCCACACCCACAGCCCTTTTTTTTTTTTTTTTTTGTATTTTGTTTTTTGAGATAGGGTCTTGCTGACTTTGTCCAGGCTGGCCTTGAACTTTCCTCCTGCCTTCATCTCCCGAGTAGCTGGGATTAGAAACATGTGCCATCATGCCCAGCCTAAAAATTAGAAATATCTACTAGACTATCTAATTAGAAATATTTACTTTGAGAATAAAGAATCTTTGGAGTTTTAGCTCTCTCTTTCACCATCAAAAAAAAAAACAAAATAAAACCAACAAAAACACTCAAGCTTTTACACATTTTTTAAGAAAAATTACTTTTGTACACGAACAGAAGAGAAACAAAATAAACATAAGGTATTGCAGAACCATTTTCACATTTAGTGTTTCTTCCTTGTGAATCACTGACTCAGAGGCATCAATGTCGTTCCCCCCACAGCCCATGGCACAATGTGGTCTTTATACTGTTAAGAGTAATGGCGATGAACCTTTCATTAAAGAGCACTCCACTGACATCTCTGGCATTTTCTTCTGAGACACTGACACCTGGTAAACAAGTTTGTTACTGATGTCTTCCTAGTCAATGAAAGAATCAATGGAAGGTGTTCAGATCTCAGTCAGGACTTATTTTTCTTCTTCAATTGGTCTTTATATGGCTTTTTGACTGAGGGGTAGTTGTTTTCCAGTCTTGTTGCCAGGAATATGACCAAATTTGCACATGGACAGGACTGCAATTGTGCTCTATCACAGGTGGACTCCTTGAAGACAGACACAAATATTGTGTGCCTTTGTAGCATAGTATTATTTCTATAAGGTGTTCACAATCTCTCCCTATGACAAGACATTCATCTATGACAAGACATTCATCTATGGTCACTGACATCATGCTTGTCACAGGACTTGCTTTGGTTAATGGAATGTAGTGGAAGTGAAGATGTCACTATCCACAGAAGTTTTAAGAGCCATCATGTTGTCTCATCTTTCTTATCCTTAAGACCAGCATAGCCTACACAGGGCTGCTTTTTTATCCTGGGTCCTTGAAATGTGGACAACAGCCAAAATTGACCACTATAAACATGTAATATGAGTGAAACATAAATTTGCAAACTGCTTTTCTGAAGGACTCTTGGTTTGTGCAGGACTTCTGGAGGGTAGCTGATGGCTGCTGATTAGCTTTCCTTCATGTGAGGTTCAAGTTCAAGGTATTGCAGGTAAGTGAGGTCACCCTAGCTTATCACCATAGCAGTGACCTCACCTGAGATGAGTTTAAAATAAGCCACTCTTGCTAGACATGGTGGTACATGCTTGAAGCCCAGCACTCAAGAGGTCAAGGCAGAAGGATGTCAAGTTTAAGATCAGGCTGGGCTACATCGTGAGACTGTCTCAAAACAAAAACACACAAATGAACACAAAAAATCACTCTGGACTACCTATAGACAAATTAAGCACTAGGAGGACATGGCTGAGTCATAGCCCAGCTATTGGGAGTGACAATTTATACCTGCATTCTCATTAAATGCCTTGAAAAAAATCTGAAGTCAGAAACCATTGTTGGGACTGTAGACAATGCCTCACTTTGGGACATCATAGGAGTTTTTAGTGGAAAAGGATGGGTTGAAGAGGGAAGAGGTGGAGGAAAATGGTGTAGCTCTGAAGTGTTTGCTCTTGTTTTTCTTCTTTCCTTGTGATTAAAGCTGATTTCATGAAAGAAGTTATCAATCTGTGGACAATAGCTTCTTCTTTTTCCTCCAAAGCAGGAAATTCAGCATCTGCATCCAGAGTTTCATCAGAGAAGTGGCTGAACTCAAAATATATTAGGGATCTGACTGCAGTTAAGTGTTGGTGGATTCAGCAGTTGGCAACAGCCCTTCAAGGAGTACAGGCTGTGGTTTCCTCCTGGGATGACCTCACCAGGCCCCATGATTACAGTACTGGTGAAAAGTAGAAAGAAGCAGTTAGTTGAGTCTTAGACGGCAGAAACAGTAGGTAAATAGAAGATGCCACATTAAAAATGGCACAGGACGGAAAGCTGATTTCCATTCTTCACATTCTAGTTAGGGAGGGTTAAAGGCAGGCACCACACAGGTAGTTCTGGCCCTCAAATTCTGGGTTCCCTGAAAGGTTCCTCCCTATCCTCCAGAATAAACAAAGGGATAGAATTAATCCTTATAAAACAGCTAATCCTTATAAAACACTTATACATTAAGGAGAGTAGCTGGGGTGAGGATATTGATTTTGTGACTGGAAACTGTAGAGGGTGGAGGTGACTGGCATGGGCCACCGGTGGCATCTCACCTACCACAGCCCATCCTACATGCTCAGGACAGCCTTAGTCCCCTTAAAAGGAGGCAGTAGACAGTAGTAATTAAGGGTGTCGACTTTTGCTGCAGGCAGACCTGATTTCACATCTCAATTGTGCTGAAACTAATTTTGCTTCAGTGGACATAGTCCCCTCATCCCCATTATATCAAATGCGAAAAAATGTTGACAGTGCCCAGTTTACACGGTGATTACAATGCTGAAGTGAACTATTTCCTACCAAGTGCCTAATGCACAGCTGGGCACATTAAATACTTGAGCAGTACTATTAGGTTTTTGGTTCCTAGTTTTATCAGCGAAAAGTCAAAGGGAAAGGTTGTTAGAATTGCTGTGCAAGTTCTTATATGAAAATAAATTTAGTTATAAAGTTGTGAAACTAAGTGGATGGGGTCTTTGGGTCAGATTAGATTATTACTAAGGGATCATAAAGAAGTTTTAATCAAGAATACAATACCCGTTCAACAGACTTTGGCAACAAGGTAACACTGTGGCTGTGTTGCCAGGTGAACTAGAGTTGAACGCATTCTCTAGAATGTGATGGCAGTTGACATCCACAGGGGTGCCGGAGAGTAAGCCTGGAAATGGAACAGAGCACCATTTGTTTTCATAATTAACGAAGTCTCAGAACTCGCCTTCTGTTCTTAGCTTCTCTGCCCTGCTCCACAGCCTTCACTTTCCAATCTGCTCAGCAGTACTCTGACTCTCAGCTTTCTGTGGCAGCGTACGCTGTACATGCAGGCTGGACATCTTACTTCCCCAAAAGCTGTCGTCCTGTGGGAACCAGGACACAAGGGACAGGATGTAGTACCGGCAATGCAGGCTGTCATGAAGCAGGCAGTCGTCCCCGCAATCAGGGCTCTCACTGCTCCGGAGGCGATGTCACGCTTTCTGGAAGGAGCGATGGAAGCTGGGAAACATGGAAGAGGGTGCGTGAGATTAGTGTTGAGGCTATCGATTAGAAAGCCTACTTCGAGTCTCTGACAACTGCTTCACCAATGGCGTCTCGAGTCAGTTGAAAAGAAGTGAGTCCTAAGTGTCTTCCAAAAGACTCACAGAGAATTGAGGGCATGGCAAAGCAAATGAGTTGCCAGAAGGGATCAGCCAATCTGATATCTCCAGCTCACCTGTCACCATCAACTTTGATGCCCATGGCAGACAGCATAATAAATCACAGCATTTTCCCATTGCCCTCAGAATCCTTTCCTAGGTGGCTGTTGTAAATGTATTAACACTGGTATACAGGTGAGACCTCTGTGTCACCCTTGGGTTGAGAAGCAGCTGTATGTGAGAGCACATTCTTCCTGAGGTAAGCCTGGATACACATAGGAGCACTAGGGTTTGGTGGGGGGCGGGGGATGGGGGGGGAGAGAAACTACTGTTGAAGAGCCACTTCCCCTCGACATGAATAATCTTACAGAGCAAGACGGAGATCCAAAGTGTGTGTATGCCACATCTGTTGTTGAAGAATATTCTTGTCACTTACTGAGTCCGCCGATCACTATTCCTAGGGAACCGATATTGGCAAAACCACAGAGGGCATAAGTGGCAATTGTCTCAGAACGAATCTGTAAGCAAGCATAAAGCACCGATGTGTACATGATCTGATCCAGCTTAAGAAACCTGAAAACCCAGGCTGGGGTTGTGGTTCAAGTGGTAGTGTGCTTGTCTGGTAATCACAAGGCCCTGAGTTCAAGCCCCAGTACCACCAAAAAAAAAAAAAAAAAAAAAAAAGGAAAGAAATCTGAAAACCCAATTGGGCCTCATATTTTGACTTCAGAATTAATATTGACAAATAAATATACAGTGTATGGTATCAAGTGCCCATGGTTTCTTGGACTTTTTTTTCTACCATTTTCCATTTTTTTGAGGGAGTGTGGAAAGGGGCTGTGTGGATTTAAGAAACATTCTACAGTGGATTTGGAATTAGTGGTCTTGGCATCTAGAAATGGTCCTTCTTGCTCATTGATTACTCCTAATATTCCATATGACCCGGCCTTCTGCTGTAATATGCCAGGCACAGTACTAGCTGCTGGAGATATAAAATTGGTCCCAGAAAATATTCATATTATATTGATCTGACAAAGGACTTATTGAAATTATATAAAGAACTGCAAATAACTCAATAGGAAGACAAACACCCAAGGGAAGATGGATAAAGACATTTGAATATTTCACAAAAGATATGCAAATGGCACAAGATCCCCAATAACACAAAAAGATGATTAACATCATTAGTTGCCAGGGAAACGCAAATTAAACACAATGAGACACCACTCTACACTTACTGAAATGGTTAACATTTAAGAAGTGACAACACTAAGGGCGATAAGGATGTAAAGCAACTGGAACTCTTAGGGCTTGCTGGTAGGAATGTAAAATGGCACAGGCTGGGCTGTGTGGCACACTGTCACCAAGTTAATGCACACTCCCTGTATGACCCAGCAGTTTTTCTAGGAGAGACAAAACTCATGCTCACAAAAAGACTGTTCATGAATATTTCTAGCCGCTTTACTCATAATAGCCCTGCACTTAAAGCAACTTGAATGTCCTGCAACAGGAAAACGGATAAACAAATTGTGGAGCTCTGTGAAATAGAGTACTACTCTGCAAGAAAAAGCAAAACAACATTTACAGCGGCATGAATGCTAAGGGAATCCATTTGCTGAAACAGGCAAAAGTAATTGCCATGGTTTCGATCTTAAACATTCCCCAAAAGCTCCTGTGTCAAGGCTTGGTCCCCAATGCAGCAGTGTTTAGAGGCCTGTGGGAGGTAACAGATCATGAGGACTTTGAGCTCATGACTAGATTAATCCAGTTAAGGATTCATAGCTTGATGGACTATGGGGGAGGGGCTCTCTTTTGCTTCCTGGCTGCCATGAGGTAGGCAGCTTTCCTCTGCCATGTGCTTATCCAATGGTGCTCTACCTCACCACAGGTCTAAAAGCAACTGGACCATGTGACCATGGACTGAAACCATGAAACCAAAGAAACCTTTCCTCCTTTAAGTATCTGAGTTACCACATATATTTTGCCACAGCTACAAAATGCTAACAGTAATCTACAGTGAAAGAAAGATCATTGGTTGTCTGAGACTCTGTAGGAACATGAGGGAAATCAAGGCATTGTATCAGTGAAAAGGAAATTCATTCTCAGGTATCAATCTGGCCATGGAATGTGCTTGCCTTTGTCAGCTCTGATCGTTCTGTGGGGATGTCAACATGCACACTTGGAAGTGCGAGAATGAGCAGGCCTTTCTCAGGTTAGGTGAATTTATAAAAGCATGCATGTGGCCTACTAGCTCTGTTCCAACAGTTGAGCACTGCTTAGGGCTTAGTCATTCTCCCTCAGGTTGAAGGCAAGAGGCACACTCAGTCTGGCAAAATACCCACACAACCAGGATGACAAGTTTCTTTTCCAATATCCTAAACATGTACGATTTGATTCAAAGAACAAACCAAGCAAATGCTATGTTCAAAAGTAGCAGTTTTTTTTGTGCTATCTTGATTTTTGAAAGCCTACATTCAAGGATCAAGTGGTTGAGGCAAGTTTTTTTTTTTTTTTTTTTTGCTGATTATAAGGCCCTTTCTTCTCTCATGGGTTCTAAGAACTTCTGTGTTGATATTTTCAAACAGCATGCATACAGCAGGCAAGAAAAAAAAATATCGAGTGTTTGTGCAGTCCGCAGTTCCTGGAAAAGCTCATCCTCATCCCCTACCCTTTCTAAGTGCTTTTCATTTTGTTCAATTGGCTTCAAAACCAGGCATGCTTATTAAGAGACTCTGGGCAGAATGATGGCACAAAGGGCTTGCATTTACTCTTCCTTATTTGGGGGTGGGGATGGGGTGATGCACAGATATAGTCATGTGTGGTTTTATCAGAAGAGGCAAAAGAGGCTGGGATGATTCCATTTTGCATTTGTCCACAAATGTGGAAGATTAAGCAATGGAAAGAGATGCACTGCACTAGGAAACTAACAACACATCCCATGACTCTCCTTTGTGTGTGAGTGAAGATCTACATACATGAGCAAGGATGGTCATTGCTAAGAGTGTTCATCAGCAAGGGACTAGTAAGATGAGTTGTGTGCTAGCTATGCAACACAAAGTGATGCCACAGGCGCTGATGTGGAAAGGTATCTGAGACGCTACTGAGTGCAAAGTGCAAGGTCAGCAACTGCTCGAGGGGGAAAAGCTGGCTGGCAGAGAGATAGGGAGGAAGACTTATTTCCCCTGTATGCATCATTACTTGTAAATGAAAAATAAACATGCAAAGCATTATCTTTAAGAAAGAGGAACTGGCGGAGTCACAAAGAGCTTATTGTCTGGATGTGGGTGCTGTATACATGCTCTAACCCAGGTCAGCAGTGTGCTTCAGTCAGGTGGCAGATTTTCTAGGGCAATGTTGGGACACATCCCATACTCATGGTTGGCAAGCAGAAATCACTGGGACTCTTCCCCACTCTGTTGATTGGAAATTAGAAATTTGGAGTAACAAATGCTGATTTCATCACGACTCAACAATAGCAAAGGCCATTGGGCTTGTGTTTCCACATGGATTCTGTGTACCTGCCTTGGGCTGGGCTAACCCCCAAACCAAATCAGTTCTACAGTTCATCTCCACCTTCCTAACAATCTTTTCACAAGACTGCTTGGTATTGCCAGAACTGGCAGCTTGCTTTACTCATTAACAAAACTATTTTCTCCTGGCAACTGACAGTTGGGGATAGAAAACATTTCACTTAATTTAGCCTATTGTTTACTTTTGGCAGGGAAACAAACCGGTTTAAGTGGCATCCAAACAATGAGACAATTGGCCGAGTTCCACCCTGAGGTTAGCTGAAAAATAAGCATGAGAAACAGGAGCCCCACAGAGTCCCTGTTCACATCAGGTGTGGGTCAAAGTGCCCCTGACCACAAAATATGTCAGTACTCTCCTGGGGTAGGCTGTTATTCTGGTGTGATATGTGGGAGGAAATTGGCTTGCTTGGTCTTTGGGAAGCTGGAGTGGTGGTGGTGGTGTTTGGGATGAGCAGTCTCATGCCTAGGCAGCATGTTTTTCCTCTCCTTTCCTTGCAAAACTCAATACGTGCCTGAGATATTAATGTCAAGTAGGTATTTCAATGAGTAATGGTGGTGGTCAGAAATGTCTGTTATTTCCCTTAAGTTTCCTTGTGTGACAATTCTGTTCTTCAGGGGAAAGAAGTAGGAGATTCAGTAGCAAATACAGCCTCGCTCAACTTCCTCATCCCAACAAAGTCCAGGCAGATGAAAACAGCTCTTTGCAGGCTCTTGATCTGAGCTTTTTACCCCCTCATCCCCTTGGACAGTAGCAATGGTATCTTACTATCTCTTGAGGATGGCCAGACGCTATGTGGCACGTAGGCAGTTTCTCGGAGCTCATAAAAGTCCCTTAAGCAGAAAGGCAGAGCTCATCATGATCACTAGACTATTAGCTCCATGAGGCTAGGGCCTGCTGTAGTTTGGTTCCTCAATATTCACAAAAGGCCTATATACTAACAGGTTTGGTCCCCAGAGGTGGTGCAACCTTTAGGAGGTTGGGGCCAGTAAAAGGAAGTAAGGTCATTGGGGATGTGCCCTTGAAGGGGATATTGGGACCCCAGCCCCACTCTTCCTCTGTCTTTGCTTCTCAGTGGCCATTTGGAAAGCAGGCTTTCTCTACAATATGTTCTCACCTTCATATTCTGCCTTACCACAGGCTTAAAAGCTACAGCACCAATGGACCATGCATGGACTGAAATCTCTGCGACCACAAGGCAAGATAAACAACTCCTTATTTTAAGTTGATTAAGTCAGGTATTTTGTCCCTGTAACACAAATCTGACTAACAGAGGGTTTCCTAACTAGTTTAATGCTGTAGCCTCAGTATCTACCATGTTGCCATAGAAGGTATTTGATAAATATTTGTTGACTGATTGAGTCTAGTCCCAGGTCATATGACTCTAGCTTTGTATCTATAGTTCTTCAAAGTAAATTATCATAGTGGTATGAATTAGCACGCTCTCACTCTCTCTCTTTCCCTCTTCCTCCCCCACATACACACATCATTAATTCAATGTAACTGAAAAATTACAAGGTGCTATGTGCACTATAAGCTCTACAAGATCAGGAATTTTTGGATTGTTTTGTTCTAATATAATTCAAGTGACTGGCATAGTGCCTGACACAGAGACACAAGTAACAGGGTAACAGACATACTTATAACACGAAGGCATGTACTGAAAAATCAGACTATTTACTCACCGACATATACTGCTGCACACCATTTACAAATTTGGGTCCAGCCTCTTTTCTCAAATTGATCAACTTTGAGAGGTGCTCATAAGCCACGAATTCATTGAAGAATGTCTTATAACCTATGAGTTTGGCAACCATAAAGCTGTCTTGCCAGTCTACTCCCATCATGAAAGAAAAGGGCATGAAGATGTAGGAGCATATGAGCTGCAAAACCAGAGGTAGATACTTTGTTAGAAGAGTGGTTTTCTTCTAGGTCTTCTGCTTCAACCTCAGTGACAAGATGGTTCCTGCCACCTCTGTCTCCTCAAGGCAAAAAAATTCCTCTCACATTCAGTTGCACATTTTTATCTATCAGGTGTTGCTATGGTTTGGTTTTTACTCACCCAAACTCCTGTTTGTTGGTTGAGCCTTAGCTGCCAATGTAATTGGCCAAATTGAGAGGTGATGGGGCCTTATGGTGGATTAACAGCTTTCTTGTAAGGCTGCATCAGTTCTCCCTGGAATGGTTTAGTACTTGAGAGAGCAGGTTGTTATAATGTGAACCAGCTCCTCTGTCTTTCTTCACTCCCTTTGCATGTGTCTGCTTGACCTTTCTGCTTTTCTACCATACCATGCCGATGCAAGGAGCAGCACATTGCCTACACCAAAGTTTGGGCAGAGGCAGCCACCTGACATTGGCTTTCCAGTCTTCAGAACTGTGACCTAAATAAGCTTCTTTATAAATTACCCAGTCAGGTGTTCTATTATAGCAACAGAGAACAGACTTATCGAGGAGTCAAAGCTGGAATTGGGTCATTTGAAGTGACCTGGATTCTTCAAGAAAGGGTCAGGAGAGAATGACTGTTTGGAGGAAGATAGAAAAGCTGGGGTGCAGACAGATGGGGACTACCAGAGACACTCCTAGAGTGGCTAAGAGTATGCCACAGGTAGTTAGGGAAGGCTGTCCAAAAACTAATTTTTAAACAAAGATAGGCAGAAATAAAACAGAGGGTGGAAGTATGGTGGAATTATACCTCAAAACTCAGCTGTGGGAAGTCAAGCATGCTTCCAAACCAGGACAGGGCCGAATTCAGAAATGACAAGAGGGCCAGGAAGGCAATCAGATTCGCAGCGATGTTGGCCACCAGAGGGATGGATGAAGACGCTCCCTGTGTTGCAGCTTCTAGGAGATTCCTTGAATCACTTTAGCAAAAAATAGCAATTCTAGAATTATCAGGAGTGTTGATGGGTGGTGTCACAGAGGAAGAAATGGCATAATCAGAGCTGCTTGGGTGAAAGGCCAGCCCTCAACCTGTGCCTTGGTCAAAATGCTCACCAGATCCCAAAAATCATCACGGGGCTAATTGCTGAATATAGGTAATGAGAATGTGGGATCTGTTATATTATCTCTTTGGATGTTTTTGGTGGCCCTAGAGATTGAAACTAGGGCCTCATGAATGCTAAGCCTCACCCAACCTCTGAGCTACATGCCCAGCCCCAAATGTACTTTTAAAATCAAAATTGGGAAATGATAAAATAATATAGGTTTAAAATTATTTATTAAAATTAGCTATCAGAGAATCTAAAATATTCATGGCATAAAAACTAACAACTTGGGCTGGTGGAGTGGCTCAAACAGTACAGCGCCTGCCTAGCATGCATGTGGCCCTGAGTTCAAACCCAGTGCCACTAAAAAAAACCCCAAAACCAAAAAACAACAATAGCAACAAAAAACTAACAACTTAAGGAAGGCCTTTACTTCATTTAAGAAACAGAATGTGGCCGGTGGCTCACACGTGTAATCCTAGTTACTTGGGAGACTGGGATAGGGAAAACAGTGGTTTGAGGCCAGCCTGGGCAAATAGTTTGAGACCCTGTCTTGAAAACATACAACACAAAAAAGGGCTATCGGAGTGTCTCAAGTGGTAGAGTGCCTGCCAAGCAAGCCTGAGGCCCTGAGTTCAAATGCTATTACTGCCAAAAATATTAAAACTAAAAAAATTTGCATGGCTGCTGACTTTATAAGTGGATCTACAGGTTGAATATATTTTATCTGAAATGCTTGCGACAAGTTTCAGATTTCAGTTCTGGAATATTTGCATATACATAACAAGCTATCTTGGGGGTGAGATCAAGTCTAAACATGAACTTAACTTGTATTTCATATATACTTTATATACATGGCTTGAAAGTAATTTTATATAATATTTTAAATAATTTTGTGCATGAGATAAAGTTTAATGGCATGGAATTTTCCACTTGTGGCACCGTGTCAGCACTCAAAAAGTTTTGGATTTTGGAACATTTTGGATTTTACATTTCTGGGTTAGGGATGCTTAACCTTGATTTGTATTTTTTGGTAACTTGCTTTTTTACTCAGGATGACTTTATTTCCATGCAATTGAGGGAGGAATCTCAGACACATGTTAACAGATGAATTATGCAAGTTAATGAAATATTTTACACATCTTAAATCCCAGCCCTTCCCCCTTTTTCCTTCTTTTTCAAAGGAAAAGAAAATGAGGCAAGTTTCTTATTTTTTGAGACAAAATTCTAACAGTCTCAATCCAAGGCTCAGTGAACACTATGCTGTACGTACAGTGAACTACTTTACAGGGAACAGGTAAGGAAGCGTGTGAGTCTACATGAAAGGCTGTCCCTGAGTGTTGAAACAAGGTTGTTTGGTAAGGTCTAAGAGTCTGGGAAATTAACAATATCATAATTCATAATTTGATTATGAATTCAATTCAATCATTATAATTCAAATTGATGATATCATAATATCATAATTCACTGTGATTTCTTGTTATCAGTTTTTTCTGTGCTTTGAACTTGGATTCACTGCCCCAGCTTGTGTAGTCACAAACTAAGCACTGTGAACCACTTACCCACTTTCCATTTTCATGGCATTCTTGAGCGTTATTTTGGGTTTCTCTGTCTCAGGCCACAGGAGTTTGGCAACAGCTAGTGATGCAGGTGCTGACATGACTGAGGCCGTTAGCAAGTGGGTCGATGACACCTGCAGTTTCAGAGGAAGGCAAACAGGCTTAGCTTTTTTTTCTCTTGTGCCCAGAGAAATGGTCCAAAAGCCTCACAGGAAAGAGATGGGGCAGGAGTTGAATCTGTGCCAGAGAGCAATGTTTCCTTGGAGGTTTGGAAGGTCAGCTTTTCTCAGTGAGCTGTCATGGCATCACCTGAGAGCAAAAGGATAGGGAGGAATTCCTGTCAACTGGCCTCAGCCTTGGAGAAAAGCACAAAACCATAACCTGATCACTTCAGAAGAGAATTAATTCTGCACTGTAAGAACTTTCAAAGAAGACTCCTCAACCTCTCTGCTGTCTTCTGGAATACTCAACTGTCTCTGAAGCTGCTGTTTCATTACATCATCAGTTCAGATAGGGGACACCTGGGCTGGAATGGGCATGGAGAGGACTTCTGACCTACAGGCAGGCACAGATAATCCCTCTCTACCTGTCTTTTGCGTTCCTGAAATTCTTTGTGCCTTTACATAATATTCATTCATGCAGAGTCTTTTTGATCTGGATGTTATTTCTATTTTCCCCACTGCAAGTCTGTTGTTGGTCTGTGCCTTGCCTCTCCTCCCCCTTCCCCAAATTATTTCTGGATTATCTTCCCTACATTTTCAGAATTCCAGAATCAGTGCCTCCCTCCCAATCCCATAACACCTAGCACATTTCTGAAGGCAGCAGTCTTACAGTGGGGACCGTGAGTTATCTGGGAATCACTCACTCACTCTGCTATTCCTAAGGTAGCTTTACTTCTTCTTCCCTCTTCCTAGGAACTGGCTCTCCCAGGTCTGTATGGAGACCCCAGTGAAGTTCAATTGTCTTGTAAGAAATCCTAGCCAGGTGCTGGTGGCTCATATCTATAATCCTAGCTACTCAGGAGGCAGAGATCAGGAGGATTGTGATTCGAAGCCAGCCAGAGGCAAGTAGTTTATGAGACCCTATCTTGAGAAAAATCCATCACATAAAAAGGCTGGTGGAGTGGCTCAAGGTGTAGGCCCTGAGTTCAAGCCCCAGTACTAAGAAAAGAAAGAAAAGAAAGGAAAGAAAGAAAGAAAGAAATCCTAGAGACCTGATTCACACAGAGTTGACTGTGTTATTAAATTTCTCCACTGGGGACTGTATCAATCCTGCACTAGTAAACTGTATACCTGGGGACAGACACATCATTCACAGCATTCCCCAGCCCTACAGGGCAGACCACCAGTTCTCAAACTTCATTCTACATTGGAAGCTGAGAAGTTTTTAAGCTGGGCATTGGTGGTTCATGCCTATAATCCTAGCTACTTGGGACTATTCGAGGCCAAAACAGGCAAATAATTCACAAGACCCCGTCTCCAAAAGAACCAGAGCAAAATGGACTGGAGATGTGGCTCAAGCAGTAGAGCACTTGCTTTGTAAGAGAAAAGCCCTGAGTTCAAACCCCAGGCTACTAAAAAAGAAAAGACGTTTTTAAAAATACTGCTGGCTGAATCTCATTCCAAGAAATTCTGATTTAATTTGTTAGGCATATGGGTCTGGAAATTAGGGCTTTAAGAACTCCCAGGTGCAGTAGGTTTGAGAATCACTGCTTCAGATTAATTGCCCATAATCTTTTCTATAAAGGGCCAGAGAGCAAATAATTTTGATTTTGCTGGCCACCACTAGATTTGTCTTTGCTGGCCACTGAAGACAAATGAAAGTAGCTAATTTCTAATAAAACCTTAACAGAAACAAAGGCTAATCTGGATTTGGCTTGTGGGCCATAGTTTGCTAGCCCTGGCTTTTGATCACCTTTATTAATATCAGTAATAGTTTTGTTTTTCTTCGCACGTGAAAAATTTCAGACCTACAATTTTACTTTTGTGTGGTGGGATATAATTCACATTTCGGTAGCAGGAAAATGAAAGTGAAGTCCCAAATTCCTTGGGGTCACTATGTTCAAATGATAAAACAACTGTGAGTGGGCAACTTTTGCCACGCTGCAAAAGGGAGACTTTTTTGGCTGCACTAGGGTTTAAACGCATGGCCTCACGCTTGCTAGGCAGGTGCCCTACCACTTGAGCCACTCCACCAACCCTTTTTTCATGTTGGGTATTTTCAAGATAGGGTCTCTTGAACTATTTGCCCAGGCTGGTTTTGAACCATGATTCTCTTGATTTCTGCTTCCTGAGTAGCTAGGATTGCAGGCGTAAGCCACCAGTGCCTGGCAAAAGGGTCACTCTTGTGGCCTCCTTTTCCACCAGCAATGGGAAACAAAAAATTAGAAACAAAAGAGAAATAGCAACAAAAGAAGAGGTTAATTTGGTATAACTTAATTCCAAAACATTCTTACCCCAAAAGAAATGTATGCACCCAAGACACTTCCAGCAATTGTTGCAAAGCCAGCTGTCATGATGGCATGGAGTTCCGACTTGGTGACATGTGGTAAATATGGTCGAACCAGTAGTGGAGACTCCGTCTGGGGATGGAGAAGGGTGATTTTAGGGGATTGTGCTAATCTACTCAACAACACATTCTCTAAAACAGTGTTTCAGGGTGATTTATCCTAAAGCAGAGTTTTAGGGTGATTTATCATAAGGCTCCATCAGACCACGTGGGAGCTCTTTAGAAATGCAAATTCTACAATTTACCAATCAGAAACAGGTAGGGTTAGCAATCTGTATTTTAACAAGCTTTCAGGTGATCTGATGCAGGCTGAAATTTGAGAACTTACAGCATTGACATCTGGGTCATTTAAACTCTAGGTCAGTGCGAATATATAGTCATGGGTAAATCTTGCAATTGGTGAGGCTCATCCTACAGTGCCTCCACCCAGGCTGGCACTGAACGCTCTGAGGACGGATGCAGTGTACTTTTCTCAGGGTTGATCAAGTCACTCTGCCCAGTAGCCTGGCCTTGGGCACTAGGGATTTCTAAACTACCATGTTCATCTTGAACAAAATCTCAGCCTGTTTCCTTAGAGAAACAGAGACACCTCAGTACACACACACACACACACACACACACACACACAAAACCATCAATAACAAGAACAGGTGCCCGCAGGTCCTTTCATAATTGAGAATCAGAGACCCTTGTCTGATGCATGAAAAGGAACTGGACAGGCTTGAATCTCATTAAGGAGGACAGGCAGCCTGCAGTGTGGGCTCTCCATCAATAATAGCAGTACTTTTAGCATATTAAGTATCAATTTGAGCACCACAGAAGCATGTGTGCAATTTTACAATTTTCTCCTCATTATTTCTAATTGTTCCATAAGATTGAATGGTTGTGCCTCAATTTATAGACTAAATAGGAACGCAGTATGTGAGCCCTCTTACCCCACAGGTACTAGTAATCAACTCAAGACGGTGCCCTAATTAGTCCCAAGAGATTTTATGACTATAATTATTATAATTTCAACTCCTATGGAAGGAAGTGTACCCTCCCACATATCACTAAAGACAGCTCCAAGCTAGCGAGCCAGGCTTAACAGGAAGGCTCAGCCTGCCTGGAGCAATTGTAAGTCTGGGATTTGGGGCCAGATGTTTTTCTGGGTGAGTTGATTTTTGTTTCAAGTCCAGTTCCTTTGGGCGGTGGTGCTAGTGAGTATTCCCACTTGGCTTCTTTGGCGTGTGATTCTATTCTCCCTGAAGCTGTGTATCCCGAGTGATGAGTACCTCATTACCATTTCCTACTTATCCACCCCTTAGGAATGCTGCCATTTTGAGGGACATCCCCTGGCATCACATTTCTTTGTTTAAATGTACTTCCGGCAAAAGAATATTTATTCATGTCAGGGAAGTGAAAAGTGGAGCTTAAAAGCTTATCTTGGATGAGAAGGAAAACCTCAAAACATTTTCTTCAGGCTCAGCAGACAGACCACTGGGCAGTTCAGACAATCTGAGAATGAGCGGTGCATACAGCTGAATGTGTGTTGGTGGGAAGCCTTTCCTTGTCTCCTTCATTGCCATAGGCATTGCAGTATAGGTCAGAGGCTGCCTGCTTCCTGTTTACAGCTTCAAGATAGTGAAATTGATTCAGTGAAGAGCTACTGGCCTCTGAGGATTGACCAGAGACCACAATAATTCAATAAACCCAGAAAAGATTTGCTGAGAATTTGTACATGAGATGTCCTATGCTTTAATAAAATGACTAACTCTCCTCTCCATAAATGTTCAAGAACCCAACTCTACACTAGCGTACCCAGACTTTTGGAAGGGATTTCTCTCTTTCTCTCTCTCTGGAATCTGGACATTGCCAGTACTAGGGGTTCCTTATTTTATACCCTTCTCTCCACACTGAAAGAAATGATAATGCCCCAATATTTCTTTATTCTGTGTTTTGGAAGGAGGCTGTCCATTTCAGCAGGTGCTTTTCTTTTGTTTTTTGATATTTCAACTTACCTGTCCAACAAATATATTGCCAGCAGCAACTACAGACTCAATAGGAGATGAACCCATAGTAACGAACATTGCCCATCCGACCTAAAGGAAGAAAGGTCAGGGAAAAACTATTCGTATATTAAGAAAAACATCAAAGTAGGCATAAAAATCTTTTAAATACAGTAAAACATGGAGGCCTTGCACCAATTGTTGGCAGGTTAGTGACAGTGCTAAATGTAACTCATTTAGCTCATAGAACATGCCAGTTAAATTCTCTTGTTTGAGTGGTAACTCTGGGTCATTGTATATATTTTTGAACAATATACAAATGAGTTTCTATAGGTATCTTATATGAAAGTAATAAATGATAGTTGCTAACATTCATGGGAGGCTTTTCTGCATTCCAGGCACTGTTGTACCCTTGATCTGGGTAATGCATTTAATTTTGATTATGTGATATGAGTTTTATAATAAGTCCATTTTATGGGTGAGAAAGTCGAGGCTCAGAAAGAACAGTTGTTTTGTCAAAAGTCAGACAACTAAAAAATACTGGGACACAGTTGAAGTGTGATTTTTGTACTTCATTCTAATGAATATGGTTCATGGGTTCCAATTTTTGAATTAATCTTTTGCAATAGTTTGGAACTGGAATGTCCCTCAAGGCCCATGTGTTAAAGGTGTGGCTGTCACCACATAGTGCTATCATAGTGCTATGGTGGAAACTTTGAGAGGTGGAGCCTAGTGGGAGAGGGTGTGTCCTCAATGGGGATTGTGGAACCTTCTTTTCACATCCTGGACATCAGGGGAATGGCTTTGTTTCACCACACTCAGCCTGCCATGATGTGCTGCCTTACCACACCCAAAAACAACAGGGTGAATGGACTGTGGACTGAAACCACTAAAACTGTGAGCCAAAACAAGCCTTTCAGCTTGATAAGTTGATTATTGCAGATATCTGTCACAGCAATGTAAAGCTGACTACCACACCTTTCAACCAGAGTCCACTTCAGGATGTAGATTTCCTGTTGCATTCTCTCTCTTTTCTTTTTGCTTAGACATGCGTGCAGTAATTCTAGATGTTAAAATCAACAATCAGAAAATTGTGAGCCCCAGACCTCTTGCTGTAATTTTGAATTCTGCTGCATTGTTTTTCTCTCTCCCCTACCTTTTCTTCTCTTTCTGTGTATACAATGATTTATTTATAGGATCAAAGGGGAGTTGTAGCTGTCCCCCAAGTTCTGTTTGCACCTCTTTGCTCTCATGAGCATCCAAAGTAGCTTACAAATGTCCTTGTTTCCTGATCTAACTCGAGGTAGTATTCATTTGCTTGGTCAGCAAGAATGAGATTAACTGTTCCCCTTTTTCCTCCCAATACTGAGGATTGAATCCAGGGACTTACCTTATTAGGCAAGTGCTCTACCACTTGAACCCTTTTGATTTTAAGAAATGGTCTTGCTAACTTTGCCTGGGCAGCCTCTAACTCATGATTCTCCTGCCTCTGCCTCGTGATTTTCCTGCCTCTGTCTTCTGAGTTGCTGGGACTGCATGGGTGCACAATACCCAGTAAATGCTTCCTTTTTAAAAAAATCATGTGCTTATAAAACTCCCTCCAGGACAAAAAGCAACTTCTTGCTTTGATTTCTCTAGCAACTCCAAGACTCAGAGCACCTACTTTGTTCACTTCCTGAAGATAAACAGTGACTGTGTAAGACAAGGTGGGCAGCCACAAGGAAGGACTGATGCTGCCTTCCCCTGGTATCTGACTTCAGTTCCTTAGCTAAAGAAGTAGCTGCTCTGGTGAGTTACAAGTCCAAGTCCTATTATAAGTCCCTGAGATAAGATTCCCTATGCGGATACATGCAGAATTTTGGGGTTTGAATGTAACTTGGATGGTGATGGAAGTGATTCTTTGTAGGAAGAGAAAGGCATTCTGAAATGCCTGGATACAAGGCATTTAAGACTTTGTACCTGAAACAATCAGCTCCACACCTGCCACTCAGTCCCTCCCACTGCAGTACCTTCTTGATGATCCATTGCATCAGTCCTAGGTAGTAGAGCATGGACATCACGGTGCTGAAGAAAACCACGATTGGCAGGACCTGTGGGTAGGGTAAGAGGACAAAAGTGACCACAGGTCAGTGTTGAATCCAGTGGTACTGCAAGTCTCCCACTAGGTCTCCTCTCTGCCTCCTTTTCTCCACCAGAAATATCACACAACACAGAAATGCCTCTTGAATTAAACAACACTTTTATCGGCATTATCCTTTTCTACAGTCTCTTATTCTAATTGCTTCTGGACAGGCTTGAGTATTGCAATGGTTTGAGTGTGTGCCCTAAACATGGTGAAAACTTAACCCCCAAGTTCATGTTAATGTTGGGGTCTTTGGGAAATTTTAGGATTAGATGGGTGGGTCCCTAGGATGGCAGTATTGGCATATTTTATTTTTTGTGGTTCTAGGGCTTAAACCCAGGGCTCCATCCATGCTAGAGCACGTTCCTAGCAAGTGCTTGAGGATTGAGCAACATCCTCAGCCTCTATATGAGGAAGAGAGGAAGAGGGACTGAGCTAGCACACTTTCTCTGCCTCACCATGTGATGCTCTCCACCATGTTATGATGCAGAAAGAGGCCCTCACCAATATTGGCACTTTGATAATGGACTTCCTAGCTTCAGAACTGTGAGCTACATAAGCTTCTGTTCTTTATAAATTACCCAGTCTCAGGTATTTTGTTATAATAACAGAAAACAGACTAAGACAAATATATTTCATAGGAAACTTGACATTTCCGTCTTCTGTCATGAGCTTCTTACTAAGAGAAAGAATGCAGTTTTGGGAAAATTTATAACAACTAGATTGACAATTTGAAGTCCATTGACAAATATTCTTATTGTTTTGATATTAAAAAGACATGGGCTTCACCACTAATTGGCAGAGTAACCTGGGTCACAATTAATTGTAAGCCACCTCAGATCCTTATGTACAGTATCTCTGAAGGTCAGATAAAGCAGGCTGGTGCTTGCACATAATACTTCTACAGAGTGAATTTGAAAATAAGAATTCTTTTACCTATAGATTTTTGAATCACTAAAAAAATTACATTTTGGAGACTAGCTTAGCTCTGTGTTAAAGTATTGTGTTTTCCTAGATCCTGTTTTCTGGTGCTCTTTGGGAGCCTTCAGTGCAGCCTGTGTTTCTACAGGGAACAATGTCCACCCTGCACAGACCTCACAGAACTGGGGGCTGGGTCTCTGCTCAGCCTCACCCTACTTTACCCTTCCCCACTGTTCTCCAGCTAAATGGCCAGAGACAAGGTGCACCAGAGGCACTGAATGACCAGGGACAATTTGTACAGGATCTGATTTAGAAAACTCTATTAATAATTTATATTAAAAGACATTTTGTGCCAGTAGTCAGAGCTTGCTCACTACAAGTCTTTTATTAGCTTTAATGGGTAGACAGAGCTTTCCTGAAGCAGGAAGGAGTTCCAGGTGCTTTTCCAGGGCTTCAGCATTGGTAGAAAAGAATAGAGGCCACTGCTGGGGGGTGGGGGAGATGACAAGGTCTGAAGATGCTCCTGTAGTCTCGGTAGCAAGTTACTCCTTTGTGACTTTGTTTTTTCTTTTCCAATTCTGAATTCAATTCACAATATGAGCATATTTCTGTATCACTCTGTGTGAGTTGACCTTTCAGATATGGCTTAGTTATCTCAGCACCAAAGCATCAGATCAATAGTGTTAGAAAAGATTCAGACCCTGATAGGATTATTATACATTATATACTGTATTATACACTATACCCCCAAGACTATGGAAGATTATTGTGTGTCATTAAAAATAAAAAATATATAAGAATATCTAGCATAAAAGTTGGCCTAACTGAAGCCAGGGTAATTTGGAGTCTGGAAGGGAGAAAACAATTTAGAAATGGAGAAGCTAAAACACCACAAAAAAAGAAAGCTGGAGTAAAAGTCAAATGCAACTTTCTGACTCAGACACATATTTGTAGGGGCATCCCAGATGAGGGGAACTTTCTGGGGTTTGTGGGAGCCCTGAGAGGGAACTGTGTCTGGACAGGAACCAGGTTGCCTCTCCTCTGTAACTGATTAGGGGAAGGCCTAACCAGGCAATGACTACTGTGCTGAAGGAGAGATGAGAAAGGGTCAGTGTAGGGATGGCTGTAGAAGAGCAGAGGCTGAGGTGGTTGACTGGCTGTCCCAGTTATCCTGGGATGGAAGACTTTTCTGAATGTAGAGTTGTTGCTGACGTTGTACGTGGACGCTATTGGGGGCCTCATGCCTGCGCATTTCCAGGTATACATTGTTCTTTTCCCTGAAGTCCCAAATACTATTACCCCATAGGATTTTAGGCAATACTACAAACCCCCCTCCCACCAAATATTTGAATGTTTCTGACCTCTAGATGCTTCCCTTAAGGCTATACAGGAGCAACACAGTACACTGAGTTCAGATAATATTATAAGTGAAAAAGGACAGTGATGTGTTACAAACCTGTAACACACCCAGCAGTATGCACCTGGTTTTGGGCCGGTCTGCATATCTACAAACACTGAGAAGCTAGAAAAGGCAGAGACTACATAGAAAAGGGGTCTGGATTTACCTTAAATGCAAAGAAGTGGTCTGTGTATTTCTCACCAAAGACAAATACAGCACCAGCATCAGTGTACTCCAGAAAAGTCTGAGGTTAAGAAAGAAAGAGTTCATTATAACTAGTGAAGTGACATCATAAGCCCAGGGACATTAGGCTCTGCAGAGGATGAGGACCCTGCAAACTTCTAGATAGACTTGGAAAGTTAATATTTTCTGATTTGCCCATCCAATGGGCATGGAAGCATATTTTTTAATCATACCTGCATACAAATTTCCTGTTATTTCTGACATTCTCTCTTACTCCAGGATGCCAAAGGGATGAGCCGAGTGTGGCAATTTGCTCTAGCAAGCCATAACTGGTACATGGGTAGCACCAGTTACTACTGGATGTAAATGAAGCCCATTTCTTAGAATTCTGGTGCCCCTAGGGCAGGATAATGGGGTAAAAGGGGTAGGGTGGTGCTGAAGTAGAGGATACAGGTCAAGGGTAGCAATAATATTAATAAACTAGACAGACTACATATTTGACATCAACAGGTATTTGTCTAATTCATGCTATGGAATTAAAACTGAGGTCAAACACTGCAAACAAATTAAACTATTTCTGACATGTTTTGAGGATTACATCCAAATGTTAAAAGTGCTATAAAAGCAAAGTATTCTTTTGAGCCACTTACCTGAACTTGTTTGCCCAACCAATCAAAAGCAATAAATCCAGGCTTAGTTCTTAGAATTAAGAGCCCAAGAAGAAACTGCAATCCAATTCCCCAAAAGACAGGTCTCCAGTAAACCTATGCAAAAAGATGAAGATCATCCCTTATTGTGCTAACATAAGCAATAAGTGCAATGAGGCCTAAACTAACAAACAAAAAGTGCTAACAAGAGCAACACACCCAGATGTCCAAGAGGCCACTGCTTCCTTGTAGGCATTTTCCAAGGTGGCCTGTGACTGGCCTTCAGGAAGTCCAAACAGCCACAGCAGAGAATTTTTTGATGGAACCATACCTTCAAAAACTCAAGATTGCATTCACTTTTCCTAAATCTGAGTGGAAACCTTCAGTCTTGGGAAAGTATGTAACTACTAAGTCATGATAAATAACTTAGACACAGACAGTAAACTAAGAAGCATCGCTAGAGGAGGAAGGCCCTGGCTGTCCCAGTCATACTGTAATATATATATATATTGCACATTATGTAAGTATAAAAAATTATTTCTCCCAGTTAAAATGGAAAGGCAGAATATGACTTCTTTGTGTTCAAGGCTTGTTGATTTAACAACATATAAGTGAATTAAATGAAATTCTTCCTGGGTGAAGGGCTCTTGTTTCACTACAGAAGGAGTCAGTGATCTTGAATGCAGACCCAGGATGAACTCTAGAAATGGATACTCATTTGAGTTCATTTTCACTGCAGAAATAAATGGCCTGAATGGTATCGAAGGCACAGGAAATGGAGATGTTCACCTGCACAGGCCAAATCATTTGGATCATATGAGATGAACTTGGTCTCTGATTAATGCTTTTTCTTTGGGTCAACCTTTTAGCCAGAAAAGTCTTCCAGAGCTGGCCATTGTGACTCATGTGTAAGAGCTGCTAGATTTCAGAGTTCCTGTCCATTTCATGGGTTATAGAACAAAGATGAGAATTGAGTTCAATGGGAAAAAGCTGTGTAAGGACAAAGTTTGAGACCAAAAGCCCAATTGTAAATGGAACTTTGATAAACCTCAGGATTGAATGTAGAATACTGTAATAGGTAACTTACAGTCTGGGAAAATCTGGGTCAAAATGAATGAGTTTTTTTCTATATGTGTTTGATGGGCAGGGGTACACAAGTAGAAACTGAATTTGTCAGGGGAAGAAGGTTTCACTGATTGTGTAACTGGGAATTACTGAGACAGGAACATGAGATAGTAACAGATAATACTTTTGAAAGTTCCAGAAGAAGGGCACTCTCGCCACCTTGAATAATAACAGCAAAGTAAGAAAAATATTGAAGAGTTAAATTATTTCAGTTATTATTTTGAACTATTTACTCCTGGAAGCAAAAAAAAAAAAATTCCCCTCCCCCCAAAACCAATCAGTTTCATACTTACTCTGGTTGGGTGCTTGGAAAACAGAAATGACAGGATAAGGAACATTACAAGCCCACCGAAGGACACCAACTGCTGTTTACCCAATTTGGCAGTGTCAAGGATCAGCCAGAAAATAATCCCCAGGATCAGTAAGCTCCAGATCACCCTGGGAGACAGAAGGAGGCACTGGCATCATTTGTTGTGTTAACCTGAGCATTGTAACAAAGAGAAAAATGCTAATGAAAGCAACACACCTTGACTTTACCTCAGCCTAACTTTTTTGGTTGTGGTGATAATGACAAATAGCCAAAAAAAAAAAAAAAAAAAAAGCAATGTGTCTCTCTCACTCTATGACTCCAGACCCTATATGAGTTCAAGGATACACAAAGGGGCGAGAGAGGAGGCCTGGTGAGTTCTTTGACAGAGCTACTGTGATTCTTTTTTTTTTTTGCAGTACTGGGGCTTGAACTCAGGGTCTACACATTGAGCCACTTCACTAGCCCTTTTTTGTGATAGGATTTTTCTAGAGGGTATTGCAAATCATTTTCTCGGGCTGGCTTTGAACCTCAATCCTCCTGATCTCTGCCCCCTGAGTAGCTAGGATTACAGGTGTGAGCCACTGGTGCCTGGCTCTCCTTTTCTTCCCTCCCTCCCTTCTTCCTTCCTTCCTTTCTTACTGTTATGTATCCCAGATTGGCCTGGGACTCAACCTTGCCTTCTGCCTCTTGAATACTGGGATTACAGACAGGTATCACCATACTCAGACTGCTACAGGAATTCTTCACCTTGCTCTGGGGGCTGGGTGAGGTGTTGCTTTCTTCCCTGTTTGGGAGAACTTAAAATGTGTTCCCTGTAGTTGGGGGATCTCAACAGCTAAATCTGACTTTGGGTTTCGCCTTCCCTGGGGAGTCTAGCAGATGTGACAAGACTGACTTACTTTTTGATGGCAAAACCAGAAAGACCACTGTAAGGGGATTGCACAATCCTGATTTATTAGGATGAGGATTTGTGAAGTGTTTTGGTAGATTCCATGTGGGTATCTCAGTCCTGGGACCCACCAAGTAGGGCCACCTGGAGGGAGAGGAAATTCCACAGAAAGAGGCCAAAGGGAAAGTCTTTGGCAGTCACTGCAGGACATGGAGCTCTCTAGAGAGTGTCTGCTTTAATAGTTCCCAAGACCCTTACTCCCTAGGGGGCCAGTCCCTCCGGAGTCAGACCTGTTCTGGCTCTGATCTCTGTTTGGCTTTGACTCTGGTAGAGAAACAAACAGCAGGGAGAAAGGAGAAATGCAATCTAAAGCTGACAGGAAGGAAGGGGCACTTGGGCAAATTGCTGGCTTTCATTATTGTAGGGGATGAGACATTTTTAATATTAAAAATATGACTGTGACTATTAGACCATCAATTAAAACTGAGCAGAAAGGTCATGGAATTTTGGGCACTTTTATACACAGTATTGAATAGATAGTACCTACTGAATAAAATGGGAAGAATGATGGATGGGAAGTTACATTATATTTTAATCACTATCTATGGGTAATACATTGGTTACACACTCAAGTGTTCTTAACCTCCAGGCAATTCCTAACACTCTAAAGTTGTTTGTTTGTTTCTAAAATCCTAATTTTTGTTTTGGTTATGATGAATATTCAAACAACATTAATTTTTCCAGTCCTTGGGGAAAAAAAAAAATCCTAATTTTCTTTTTCTTTTTTTGGTGGTACTGTTTGAATTCAGGGCTTCACAGTTGCTAGGTGGCTGCTCAACTGCTTGAGCCAGTCCCTCAGTCCACCAAATCCTAATTTTTAGGTAGCAAAAGTCATGGAAACAAATAAGAGGAACTGAAAGCCTAACTGAAAAACTATTGGATTCATTATCCAATAAAGAAATGAAAAGGCCAGGCGGCTCAGGCCTGCAATCCTAGCTACTTGGGAAGCAGAGATTGGAAGGATCTTGGTTTCAGGCTAGCCAAGGCATAAAGTTAGCAAGACTGCATTTCAACCAGTGAGTTGGGCATGGTGGTGCATGCTGCTCATCCCAGCTGTGCTGGAAATCTAAATGGGAGGATTGTGGTCGGGCCAGCCTGGGCAAAGACTCAACACCCTGTTCAAAAATAACTGAAGCAGAAAGGAGTGCACACCTGGCTCAAGTGGTAAAGCACCTGCTGAGCAAGTGTGGAGCTCTAAGTTTAAACCCCAGTACCACACACACAAAATAAATAAATAAATAAATAAGAAACAAAGAAAAGAAGATAATGAGATGACAGTTGACTTGAATTAGCCAAAAATAGATTAAAAAAATGTTTAAGCTCATCACAAGGAGAAAAAATATATATATATATAAGTATATATATGTAAATATATATATGTAAAAAAATAGTCAACCATAGAGGAACTATAAACTTAAAAAACTGAGATTGGATATATTCTATAGTCCTCATTTTGTAAATAAATTTTAAAGGGACTACATATGACTGGTACAAGAAAAAAATGTCACAACAATGAAATTTCTTTGCAGACATGTCAGCTATCTCCATCATCTTGTACTTATAAACCAGCCCTTCTATTTTTTTTATTTCTTTTTTTAATTCGTTTATTCACATATGCAGCATATGTTGTTTGGTTCATTTCTCCCCCCATTCCCAGCCCCCTGTCTCTCCCCCGCCCTTGCTTCCAGGCAGAATCTGTTCTGCCCTTTTCTCTAATTTTGTTGAAAGAAAACATAAGCAATAATAAGGAAGGCAAAGCATTTTTGCTAGTTGAGATAAGGATAGCAATACAGAGAGATCCTACCATTGCTTCCACGTACAAATGAAACTAGCCCTTTAAACAGGGGCTGAGATCAGATTTGATTCGTATTGCTGATCGCTGTCCTGTGCCAGGATGGACATTGCTGATTGATCCTGATGTCATTCCTCTGACAAGCCAAAAGGAGAGCTTAAGCCTTCTCTGCCATGACTAAAACCTTGCACTATTCTATATTCTTCACTGCTTCATGATAGGAACAGAGGTGTCTAATATAGTACATAGACGGTTATTCAATTAATGTGTTTTGGACAGCATTTTATCCTTTAGTAGTCTTGAATTAAGATGATTGTAGGGACACTTGAACACATTTCATATGAGTCATCACTTCATCTAAGTCTTAATTTCCTGTTTGTAAAATGAAGCATTAGATGCCTCCCAAGGTTGTTCCTAGCTTCAAAATCCCATAAATGAGGAAGCAATTTTAAAACAAATTTTTGTAACAGTGTTGGAAAGGACTAATAACCCCCTCAATTGCAATAAGAGAACCAATTGCATTTACCACTTCAGCCAGAACCAGTGGTTGTTCAGAAGCCTTCGCCCTGGAGACAGGAACTCATCAATTCGATGTTCATATTTGGCCATCAGGTGGTCCCAGACAACAAAGAAGATGGCAGCCACCGTGATCACAAAAAGAGGAAGGGCTCTATGAAAGTTCAGCACACAGGCTGTAATCACCAGGGCCAAGAAACCTGTCCAGGAGGCAAAGCAGAATTAAATATCACCAAGGCCAGCTAAACTTGATCTGACTCAGGCAAGGGGAGGTTTCACCAAAACCCCATTGAATGCTGGGATGCTTTATATGGTCCTGGTTTCTCTCCAGAGAGATTTTGCCCTCTTCCCCCATCAAGTCCTTAAATTTTCACAAGGAATGCTAAGGGAAAGAGTACCTTCTGAGTTCTGAATCCTGATTCTTGATCACTAGACCTCTCTCTTAGCACTAATTTTTGTTCCCCTTGTATTCAGACTCAACAGGTGAGTTACTATCAGAGAAAGGCCAAGCATTGGAGCAACCACTGGCAAAGAGGTACTGATTTTCCTGCAGCTCAAGTTTGGCCTAAGCTTAAAAGCAAAATAGACCAACCAACAATCTGTAAGTGCCACACTGTCTAAGGAAGGAGGCAGGGCAATAACTATGGTGGGTGCTTTAGAAGAGCACATTCATGGATAAGAATAAGGTCTCGAATTCCGAAAGGTCAGTGCACAATCGTCTCCGAGTCAAGTCTGGCCTGCCTCTTGGTTTTGTAGATGGCATTCACAATTGCAATTTATCCATTTATATTTGCACCCCACAAGTATGTTGTACTGGAACATAGCCGCGTCTTTCTGCTCACACAGTCTATGGCTCTAAGTACTACAACGGCAGGAGCGGCATGGTGTTGATGGCGAGCTCAGTATAGCGCTGCGTCTAAAATACTGCTGGACTGGTATGGGAAAGATGACAACCCTACCGTTTCCTGCGTTGGCTGGCTGGGCACCAGCAAAACCCTTGACCTTAGTGGTTTAGCAATCTTGGACTAATGTCTGTGGGCTTGGGGAGGCGTTCATTTTGTAGTCTGAGTGTTATCCTCCTCTCACCTCACCCCCACCGCATATTAGGGATTGAACCCAGGACCTCACCCTTGCCAGGCAAAGTTCTCTACCACCTGAGCTACATCCCCAGCCCTTTTGTTTTAATTTTATTTTGAGATAGGGCCTTGTTAACTTTCCTGTGCTGGCCTCAAAGTCACAATCCTCCTATCTCCTACTTCTGAGTAGCTAGAATTACTGGCATGAACCACCATGTCTGGTTACAGACAGAAGGTTCTCTGCAATGGGCTGTGGAGCACTTTGCTTTGGAGAGAGTAGAAACCAAAGACATTCTTGTCTTGCCTGTAGGCAAGAGGAGGGGACCAAATGGCCTAAGCTGTTTATATGTGTTCACTTCCTCCAATTAGATTTTTGCCTGATGATGATCACCAGGTCTGCCAGTTACCCAGATTTTCTAGGTTTTCATTAACCAATGCACTCCTCCAAAATCAGATCACAAGAAAGGTGCTATGGTTTGAATGTGTCTCCCCAAAGTTCATGTGTTGGACGCTTAATGCTCACATTTATATCTTAATAGTGTTTGGAGGTGGGCTCTTTGGAGGTGATTAGGATTAGGTGAGGTCATGAGGGTGGGGCCCTTATGACATTATTAGTGGTTGTAAAAAAAGGGAAAGAGACTTTGATGCTGGCTAGCATGCTTGCTCTGCCTCATGACCTCCATGTTGGGTTTTTTTAGGGGGGGGTTGGTGGCACTGGGATCTGAACTCAGGGCCTGATGCTTGCTAGGCAGGCACTCTACCACTTGAGCCACTCCACCAGCCCCTCCCCCTCCATGTTGTGACACAGTGAGAAAGTCTTCATCAATTCTTGCACCTTGATTTAGATTTCTCAGCCTCAGAATTGTGAACTAAATAAATCTCTATTTTTTATAAATTGGCTAGTCTGAGTTATTCAGTTATAGCAGCAGAAAATGGACTAAATAGGTGACTTGAAAAAATGACCTGTTGGCCTCATAAATGGGGCAGGGAAGTAATTGGATTTCTTGATTTATTTTTTGAGATGCTTTGGTGAGGTCCATGGAAGGGAAAAGTTTATTTTCTTTCTGCAGAAAGCTAATACTTGGAAGAGTCCTGAAAAACTCCATTACCCTTTGGTATTTACCAGTTAATAAAATGCCCCCGATGATGTAACGAAGAATAGTTTTGTGTTTTCTACAAAAATCACAAACTGTTTCGTACTTCCTTTCCAAACACCTGCAACATAAAAGCAAAGTCAGGCTAAAGTAGACACTCAAAACATGAAATAAACTGACATGCTCAGGCTAGATTAGGTCTGTAAAACAATCAAACGATCTGCCCTCATTTATGGACCAAAATTCAGTCAAATGGCCACATTAAAAATTGCCTCAGCAATGTCCTCTTCCTGTGGGTCCAGAAAGAGAAAATGATGCTATGAACATATGACATTTTTTCTTATATAAGGTCCTTTTATGTTTTTATCATCTCTAGTTTCTGAAGTTGTACTTGACACAATCTGTATTCACTACATACTTATCCATGATTTGAGGAAAGGAATTAAAAAAGATGTTTTGGGGATGATGTTATGTGAGGGTGTATATCCCTGTTCGAAAAAAATGTGGTCAGTGATATAATGCTGCTTCACTTTGGTGTCATTTTCTTAGAATAAAAATGAAGTTCCCATTAATCTAAAAAGGAAAGAAGCTTTGGACTTTCCTCTTTTTAAAATGAAGGCGACAAGAAAAAGGGTGAAGGGCTGGCAGAGTGGCTCAAGTGATAGAGTCCCTACCTAGCAAGTGTCAGACCCTGAGTTCAAACTCCAGTACTGCAAAGCAGAGCAAAATAAAACAAAACAAAGAAAGAGGGTGCGATATTTTTGTATGTGCTATGCTTCCATGACCTCTTTTCCTATGGGTGAATTTGTATTGAATATAACTGGATCACATCCCCTTTATTTTTATTAATATTATTAGTTTGGTATAACTGCTAGTTGCTGTTACTACTGACAAAATGTTTATTGTTGAAATGATAAATTTGTATTTTATACTTACTAGTAGGAAATGTCACTGTACCATTAAAAAGGGAGCAGTAGTTTTCAAAGTATAGTTTTCTCTTGTCAGTCCATACCTTTTACACTTGATTTTTTCCCTTAGATATCTGAATGTCAATTGTTTCTATAGTTTCACTATATGCTGAATTTAAGTTTAAAAAACAAAAGAAAAAAATCAAGCAAACAACAAACAGATTTAGGAAGTCCCTTGTCTTACAAAATAGAAATGGAGAATTTATTCATTGTAGACTAACATCAGCCATGGCTTGGTTAGCCTTCACTAACTGAGTGTGCCAAGGTCCAAGGGAACAGAGAGTGGAACACAAAGCAGGGAAGACGGATGCTGAAGTAAACTGCAGGACGAGCGTGCCTCACAATAGGAAGTGTCAGCATGCCACACACAGTGACAGGCATTGCCATGTGCACTGTCTGCATGTATGTCTGTGGTAAGTTCTGAGACCAGGTATGCTACTCCAGAAGATATGGGTGAATAAAAGAGTAGTGAAGGACTGGAGGTGTGGCTCAAGCAGTAGAACACCTGCTTTGCAAATGTGAAGCCCTGAGTTCAAATCCCATTCCCACCAAAACCACAAAACAAAACAAAAAGTGTAGTGAAGACCAAGTTTCAGGGGGTAAATATGATCAGAGAACATTATATGTAAATATCACAATGAAACCCCTTTGTATAATTAATACATGCTAGCAAAATAAAAACAGCTTAGTTACAAGGATAGAAAACAGAAAGAAAAGCAGAAAATGCTCATACTGGGTAAAAGACTCATTATTCTTAGGTGCTTTCAAAGAATGGAAGCTTGTGCCACATTTTCAGCATATAGCTAACTAAACTGGTTATAGAACTTAATAAAAACAAAGGACTAAAGTTTTGTGGTTTGATTTAGGAAAAGCTAATAATGCATTACCCTCAGTTGCAGATAGAGTGTTTAAAAAAAATGTAGCAGTTGGAGGGGAGTGACATTTAATAGGCACATCCATCTACTGTAGGTGACTTTATCAGATCTTTTAATTGCAGGGAATGTGTGCAGTCCATTACAGTAATTTGACTCTATAAAGCAAAGTAGCTGGAAATTGACTCTTGGGTCACTGTGGTTGTCTAGGCTGAACCCCCTGGTGGTCGTTTCAGTGCCATTAACATTAGTGAAACCAGAGTATTCCTGACCACTCCAGAGAACCTCAGTCCCCTCTGGCGCAGACGCTCATAAAATAAAATGAGGGATGAAATTCAGCTCTGTTTCTTTCTTTTTTTCCCAACTCCATTTCTGGGGTTGTAAATATTCTTGGTAGTATATATGTGACAAGACCTTGCAACCCTAATTCTGACTGACTTCAGAGATATCTTCTGATACATAAAAATAAACTTCCTTTGAGGTGTACCAATTTAAATTAAATTTAAATAGGAATTTGGTAAATGGATAAATATTGTAGTGTCATGATAAGAGTACCAGACAATTTTGGAGTGGGAATCAGAGGCTAAAATTCCAGACTCGCTCTAATACTCCAGCTGACTGACCTTTGGTAGGTCACTTCTTTGAGCTTCATTCTCCTGGTCCAAAAATAAAGGTAACAATCTTGCCTCTCCAACCTTACGGGATTGCAAATGCTTGGAATAATTTCAGGGTACTACAAGGTAAGAAAAGCAATAGTTTGTTGAGATTTAAGGTGGATTGAGCTTTGAGAAATCAACTGTTATTTATTGATGTTGAGAAGATAAATTAACTACTTTTGTATGGACTGGAGCAATTAGTAGGTAATTCACATCTTTAATGAGAAGAGTGTCCTGGGTGAATTTAAATCCAGATACTGGATTCCTAAGACATCAGCAGTTTGAATTGACCACATTGATTATTCTAGAGCTCCATTAATTTTTCTGAAAGTGTTGTTGGTTGGGTAGGTGAGGTGGTGACAATTTCTAATGAATCATAAGAAGTTTTAAAAATAGACAAGGATAAAACAAAGGGATAAAACAAAGGGGTGAACAGATAGGAGGTAGATGTGGTTATTTTCCCGACTTAAAAACTATACCCTTTTTGCTGCCCATCGTGGTCATCTTCCATGTCTTCTTCTTTGTTTCTTAGAGACTCTTGCTCTATTGTGACCTGCTCTTCACTCTGGAGATCAAACATTGGAGCAGAGATGGGACAGTGAGAACCCTGGGCACTGTGGAACCGGTCTCCTTTGCTCAGAATTCAACAGGCCCTTCTACATTATTATGCACGAGACAGCTCCTATTATCTACTGCACATTTTTTTCCCTCTTATAATCATAAGAAACTCAGGATCACACTTATCTGTCCCTTTTGTCCCAGAGAAGCCACTAACATTTTTTTCTTTTTTAAAGGGAACAGGCTCACATTTCTGCTTTTTGCTCCTGTCTACTTGTAATCATTCAACACTACCTCTATCTTCAGGCAAGCGTTAAATAAAGTTGATACCAGAGGCTGCATAAACCTCCCCTCCTATTACACCAGCCCCAGGTTCCAAAGTACTGAAACCAAAAGTGGTTTTATTTTTCTGGCAGCCAAAGCTTGGTCTGCAGATATCAATCCTAGCCACTTGCCTTCAAGAATGGACAAACCTCCCTACCCCCCAACCCCCCACCCCGCCCCAGGGACATAGCATCTTTCTGTCATCTGTACTAAAGAGGGGAAATAATTCCCCTGCCCAGCTAGTCCTTGCTTAATTACTCGAGTGCAATGGACACCTGGGCCATGTTTAGCGGACAGTCTTTCTGGGTAAAGTGTGAGCTCTCAAATGTCCGTGGTCCATCCTGTTCCCAGAACAGCACAGAGGACTTTCACTGTCCATTCTAAATGATAGGTCTGGTCATTGACACCAACAGCAGGGGAAGCTGGGGAGGCAGTACACAGAAGTGGAAGAGTGTAGAACATGCATCAACAGGTGTAACATCAAATTGCAACTTTTGTTTCCTGTATATCCAGTGACATTTGATTCTCAGTATTTTAACTAAATCATAAAGGATCCTGAAAGATCACATTGTCCTTCAAGGCCAAACTGCATGATACTTCTGACTCAGATTGCCTGTTTTCTGGAATGGAACCTGAGAACTAGGAAAGTGAGATGAGAATTGGAAGAGAGACCAGCTGGGTCCAAGCTGCAGCTGCAGAGTATGGGGCCCACCATTTATTTCTGTCTAGCATCTAGCTTGGCAACAGTCCATGTTTCCTTGCAGTGAAAATGCTATAAATTATCTACCATGGAGTGTCTAGCATTACTGTTCTTTTCTTTGTCGTCCTTTCTCATTTTTTAAAAACAACAAAGCACCTCCGTAGTCCCCCCAGTCATGAGATCTCTTCCCTTCTCCCTTCACCGCCAGACTACCAAAAGCTGTCTTTTCTTTTTGTGACCACTGCTCACAACCTGCTCACCATTCCACCCATTGCGACTAAGCTCCTACTGAACGCTTTTGCCAGGGTCACCGAAGCCCACTGTTGCCAAATTTAGTAGCTACTCCTCAGCCTTCACTTCTGTTTACAATGGTAAAATACCTAAATTTCATCTTGTTCTTTTGTGAGACAATTTTAAAAATACGTTTTAGAGCAGTTTTAGGTTCATAGCAAAGCTGAGCTCAAAGTACAGAGATTTCCCATGTATCCTCACATACAGCCTCCCTCATTGACAGCCTCCCTCATCGACATCCTGCACCACAGTGGTCCCTTTATTATAATCAATGAATTTACGCTGACACATCACTGCCACCTGAACCCACAGCTTACATTTGAGTTCACTTTTGGTGCTGTGCAACCTGTGGGTTTAGACAAATGTATTTAAATCTGTCCACCACTGTAACATCATACAGAGTAGTTTCACTGCTCTAAAAATTGTCCTATTCTTCCCTACCCCTGGACATTACTGATTATTCATTTTTGTGGTATTGAGGTTTGAACTCAAGGCCTACACCTTGAACCACTCCACCAGCCCTTTTTTTGCGATGGGTTTTTTTGAGAGAAGGTCTCATGAACTATTTGTCCGAGCTGGCTTTGAACTGTGATTCTCATGATTTCTGTCTCCTGAATAGTGAGGATTATAGGCTTGAGCCACCAGCACACGGCTACCATTGATCTTTTTACTGTTTTATAGATTTGCCTTTTCTAGAGTATCATGCATCAGGAATGGTACAGCATGTTACCAGTTTAGATTGGCTTCTTTCACTCAGTAATGTGTTTAAGATTCCTCTCATTCTTTTCATGGCTTGATTGTTTCTTTCTCCTGCTGAAAAATATTGTATTGTCTGGATATACCATTATTTATTTAGCCATTCACCTACTGAAGAAACATTTGGGCTGCTTCCAGGTTTTGGTGATTATGAATAAATAAAACTTGGCAATAAATATCTGTGAATATCTTTTTTTTTGCGGTACTGGGGCTTGAACTCAGGGCCTTGACCTTGAGCTACTCTGCCAGCACTTTTTTGTGATGGGTTTTTTCGAGATAGGGTCTCTTGAACTATTTGCCTGTGCTGGCTTTGAACCTTGATTCTCCTGATCTCTGCCTCCTGAGTTACTAGGATTACAGGCGTGAGCCACTGGGCCTGGCTGTGTGCAAGTTTTTATATGGACATAGTTTTATATTTTTTGAAGACTAATAATGTGAAAACTTTTTACAATGAATTAAGTGAAATAGATAGCTACCACATAATATACATTGTATGATCCCAATACAGATGACATGTGTGTGTAGGCATGTTTGCATAAACATATGCTAAGTTCCAAGATGTTAGGCACTGATTTTTTTCCCCTTGAGTTAGAGGTCAATTTTCTTGTTCTAAATTTTGCTTCAGTAATTTTCCAAATATTCTACTTTAAGTTATTCTTTTGCCATGAGGAAACACCCCACAATAGGGTATAATTGCAGGAACTCAGAGTTAGTATTTTAAAGAATAATCTATTTTTTTTCAGTAGTGGGGTTTTAGACTCCAGGCCTTGTACTTGCGAGGCAGGCACTTGACCATCAGGGCCATGCCTCCTGCCTTTTTTTGCTTTAATTATTTTTCAGATAAGGTCTTGCACCTTTTGCCCTGACCAGCCTGGGATGAATCCTTCAATCTTCTGGAATTGCAGGGGTGAGCTGCTACACCCGGTCTTTAAAGGATGGTCTACATGAACAATTAGTTGCTCAGTTTTAGCAGCAGAAAGATTTCTTTAAGGGAAATCCCATCCAGAGTTTAATATATAATGAAATCAAACAGAGCTGCTAAGACTGGTGCCAACTAAGGTACCCAGAAGGGACTCCAGGGCATGCTGATGTCATGTAGAACCACGCTGAGCCTCCCTCGTGTCTGTCTCATTCACCTTAAAATTCAGGTGCTTTCTGTTCAAGCCAAAGCTTTCCTCCCTCACTCCCTGCCTTTCTTCTTTTGCTTTTTCCTTCCTTCCTTTCCCTCCCTCCCTCCTTCTTACTTTTTTTTTTTTAATTTAAGACAAGGTCTCACTCTTGTCCAAGTTGGCCTGGCCTGGATCTCCTGGGCTCAAATGATCCTTTGGAGTAGCTGAGACTACAGGATTGTACTACCACGTGGGTTCTAAACTAGTGCATTTTGCCTTGGGATGGAACTTGCTGTTAGGGAACTCTTTAAAACCAAAGTCTCTTTTCTTGGATGCATCTGTCTTCTTAATCACCCTTTAACTCATTCTGCTAGTGCCTAGGGAACATCAGGCTTGGCTTTGTCTCCACCAACAGATGCAAGTTTTTGTGGTAACAGTCCTCGACGATCCTCCAGCCCTACCTGTTTGGCGTTTCCTTGTTCCTCGTCTTGCACAGCTCTACTCCTTATTGAGTTGTTTCCTGATGTGCTCTGATTTTCAAGAAAGTCTTCATCCTAGGAAAAAAGAGCAGAGTGTAAAAATAAAATGTCAGAGCCCAAATACTGAAGGACTTCAGTGAATGATACCTAGAAGAATTTTGAAGGATGAGCTAAAATTAGGTGTTCACAAGGGGCATCTGATTCAAACTGCCATGGATCTTGGGCTCATAAAGAAGAACAGATGATTTTTGCTTTCTGTTTTTAATTTTATTATTTTGTTGTAGTTGTCTGCTTTGTTTTGTTTTGATAGGAAAGATTAATGTGTTCGCTGGGCACTGGTGGCTCATGCCTGTAATCCTAGCTACTCAGGAGGCAGAGATTAGGAGGATTGTGGTTCGAGGCCAGCCTGGTCAAACAGTTTGTGAGACCCTATCTTTTAATTCCAACATAAAACAGGGCTGGTACACATCAGACAAAGGACTGATAACCAGAATATATAGGGAACTCAAAAAACTAAATTCTCCCAAAACTAATGAACCAATAAAGAAATGGGAAAGTGGACTAAACAGAACTTTCTCAAAAGAAGAAATTCAAATGGCCAAAAAACACATGAAAAAATGCTCACCATCTCTAGCAATAAAGGAAATGCAAATTAAAACCACACTAAGATTCCACCTCACCTGTTAGAATAGCCATCATTAGCAACACCACTAACAACAGGTGTTGGCGAGGATGTGGGGGAAAAGGTAACCCTTTTACACTTCTGGTAGGAATGCAAACTAGTACAACCACTCTAAAAAAAAATTTGGAGGCTTCTTAAAAATCTAAACATTGATCTACCATATGATCCAGCAATACCACTCTTGGGGATATACCCAAAAGACTGTGACACAGGTTACTCCAGAGGCACCTGCACACCCATGTTTATTGAGGCACTATTCACAATAGCCAAGTTATGGAAACAGCCAAGATGCCCCACTACTGAAGAATGGATTGAGAAAATGTGGTATCTATACACAATGGAATTGTATGCAGCCATGAAGAAGAATGAAATGTTATCATTTGCAAGTAAATGGATGGTACTGGAGAACATCATTCTGAGTGAGGTTAGTCTGGCCCAAAAGACCAAAAATCATATGTTCTCCCTCATATGTGGACATTAGATCAAGGGCAAACACAACAAGGGGATTGGACTTTGATCACATGATAAAGCGAGAGCACACAAGGGAGATATGAGGATAGGTAAGACACCCAAAAAACTAGAGAGTATTTGTTTCCCTCAATGCAGAGAAACTAATGCAGATGCTTTAAAGCGAAAGAGGCCAATAGGAGAAGGGGACCAGGAACTAGAGAAAAGGTTAGTTCGAGAAGAATTAATTTAGAAGATAACACACACGCATAGGAAATCAATGCATGTCAACTCCCGGTATAGCTATCCTTATCTCAACTAGCAAAAACCCTGTTCTTTCCTATTATTGCTTATACTCTCTCTTCAACAAAATTATAGATAAGGACAAAATAGTTTCTGCCTGGTATTGAAGGGGTAGGAGGGGATAGAGAGGGGGTTGAGGGGCAAGGGAGGGGATGGGGGGAAGGGGGTAGAAATGACTCAAACATTGTATGCACATATGAATAAAGAAAAAAAATAAAAAATAAATAAAACAGGGCTGGTGGAGTGACTCAAGTGGTAGAACACCTGCCTAGCAAGCATGAGACCCTGAATTCAAATCCCAGTACTGCCCCCCCAAAAAATCAAAGATTAAAAAGAAAGAAAACTTAAAGAACTGAGTAAAGTTGCTCCTTGGAGGCTCTCCTGACCCCTCAGGGGCTGCTTCCTGATGTGACAAACACCTGGCTCACTGTGCTTTGATCTTTTTGGGGGATGTCTAGTCTTCAGTCCATCTTGTCCCAACCTGCCTTTTTCTCGGGTTAGACAACCAGCAAATAGTGTCAGCAAGTGCCCTGTGCTGGCTGAAAGGCTGTGGCTGTGTCTTGTAGAATCTCCCATGGCATTTTCTACGTTTTTGAAACATGAGCCTCTATCAACATGAATAAGATCTTACAGCACACACATGATTTATGCACAAAATATTGTTGCCATGTTTTTTTTTAATGTTATAATTGTTTTGTCTGTTTTTTATGTTATAGTTGTTTTGTTTGTTTGGTTTTGCACACCAATGACATAACGCTTATGAATTATCAATTGAATTAATGAACTGTAATGACTTCAATGCTGTCCTAGGATAGTAATGCAGTACCTTTGGACATTTGACATAAAAACACAGTGTGAAAGGAAAAATATACTTAGTATTGGAAGTGACACAATGTTGATAATTATTGGAACAGACTGATAGGTACTTAGGGACTCATTTTACTATTCTCCTATTTTGATGGATGCTTAAATTTTCCTTAATATCAAGTTGAAAAGAAAACTGAACTCAAGTGCTGAAAAACCAGGACACAAGTCACTGAGGAGCTGCTCCTTAGGATCCCTAATTATGTGTGTGACACTCAGCAGGTCACATCTTCTCAAGTCTCAGCCTCCCCACTCACACAACACAATTTCTATTCTGGTGTTCTTGTAGCTCCTTCCAGAATCCTGACATTCTCTGGCTCCCTTAGAAGCTCCAGCTTCTTGACATTGATTGTTCCTGCCATCTGGTGGCAGGACCTGAAACTTACTTGTGAAACAATGATGGGTCCTGGACGCCTTTTATTTATTTATTTAATATGAGCCGGTAGCCTGTGGCTCACGCCTGTAATCCTAGCTACTCAGGAGGCAGAAACCAGGAGGATCGAGGTTTGAAGCCAACTTGGGCAAATAGTTTGTGAGACCTTATCTCAAAAAAACCCATCACAAAAAAGGGCTGACAGTGACTCAAGGTGTAGAATTTGAGTTCAAATGCTAGTACTGCAATACATAAATAAATAAATAAAAATTTAAAAAATAAAGTTAATGTGGAAAGGGTATGTGTGGGTGTGTTTTGGGGGAGAGAGTGGGTGCTCCTTTGAATGCTGACAGGAGCACCTGTCACTAGGTAATTTTTTTTTCCCCAGCAGAGTACAGACCATGGCTTTTTTTCTACTTTTAGGAAGAACAATGTCTCTCACTCCAGGATTTTCAACAGAAATAATGGGGTTCTTGTGGGAGTTGATTGATGCCTGGAAAATGACCATCACCGTACCTGTTTTTGTTTCTTTTTAAATTGGAGTCCTGGGGCTATAATTGGGCTTATAATTATTCTTTAGCCTGTGTTTTCTTTCCATCTATTTAGTAATTTGGATTACTAGATACCTTTGTGCCTCCAATACCTATTACCATGACTGTTCTCAGGGTGAAGCAGAGCACACTGCTGGATGGGTGAGGAAGTTGGGGGAGTGGCACTTGTGTTTTTAAGCAGTGTGCAGCATGGCTCCATTTCTCTAGTTAGCTTTAGTTTCTGGATGTGCTCAAGGGTGGTGGTCCTGGATAGAGTCCCCTTTCCAGGGCACATCCTTATTGCTGGGAATACATTGTGCCTGGGCTTGTTTCCCACTGGCTCTTTGATCTTGCACTTTTTAATGCTTCTAGGATGAATATAGGTCGACAGTGGCTGTTACTCTATCTTGATGCCTGGTGTGTGTATGATTCTGTCCAGGCCATGAACACAGAGCCACATCGTAGTGACGTTAAAGTGGTGAATTAGAGGGAAGGTAGAACACTAACACTCCTGAGCAGCATGCTCATGCTGTCTCCTCTGTACCGCCCTCCTCTTCATTTGTGCACAGATGAAACTAACTTCTCCTTGTTACTCTTGGTTTTTGCTTTTATGTTGCCTGAATGATACAGTAGTTAGTAGATACAGACACTGTGTTAAATCCTTTTCAAAACTTAGTATTTGATCTCCATAAGAGGGCTATTAGGTAGGTTCTGATCTTCATTTTTAGAAATGAAGAAACTGAGGCAAAGATAAGTAAAATCACTCTGCTTTTTGTTCAGCCAGAAGTGACTGAGGTAGGATCTAAGCTCAGACTGTTCACCCCCAATCCATAGTGTGCCTGTTGAGGCTGACCCTTTGGACATAACCAATAGCAGCACACCTTTGGATTAAATTCCTTTTAACTCCTTTTTTTTCCTTTAAATTTGGAAACCTGATTCGAATGCTAGATGTTAAAGACAAGAGCAGAAATGACAGAAGTGTTGAAAGCTATTGAAATGCTTATGGCCATTTTTAAGCTACATTTGGGGTCTGGTGGTCATTTCTCACAGTGTACACTGGTTTAAGTGGAATCTATCCTTTAAATAACAGAAGACAGGCACTTCTGGTTTGAGGACCTGTCTTCACTAGTGGTTTGAAATCCTTAACCTTTCCCTCCCACTGTGCTCTGGTTGTTCAATATGGCTTCAGTTCTCAGTTCTTGTAGCTTGGGTTTCTCTGACATAGACCTGACATCACCTTGCCAGGGCAGCCTTTCTTCTTTATAGAATCTGCTCTGGCCAGGTTGCTCTGACTGTAGGAGTAATTTTGGAAGGGGGCACAGTCTGACTGTGAGGCCAGAGGCAAGAAATTGAAAACTAAAAAAAAAAGAAAGAAAGAAAGAAAGAAAATGAAGAAAAAAGAGAGAGAGAGAAGAAAGAAAGAAATGAAAACCTAAACTGCCTAGGAGCATCTGTCCTCACCTTTTATGGGATGTCATTTAGGTTCATGCAGATGGACATCGCCCATGAGGCAATGTTGATGAGGACCCTGAAGAGTTGCGATGAAGATCTTTAAATAACTTTGGAGCCCGACACTTTACAGTGAGGAGTTCTGTGAAGTATTTGGTAATATACCTTGACCAGACAGCTTTATATTAAGAGAGCAGATTTACATTGATGACTATAGTTTCCTTCCATCCTTAATCTCCTCCTCTGCCTCCTCCTTCTTCTCCTTTCTCTCCTCCTCCTTCCTTCTTTTCATCTATCTATGTAAAGGTGTACACACTGTGTACACCTTTAAAGCAGTTCTCCTAGGAATAGTCAATATGGTACATTCTGAGAAGTAAGTGGTGCCTTAAATATTGCTATGGATATTAGGCTCCCCATGCCTGGGATGACAATGGGAACTGTGACACTAATTGGACTTGCTATGCAAATCTGTAAATCTGTTTTACCCAGTTCTCTGTATAAGCTAAGAAGCTGAATACTCTGTCCCTTGTTTTCTGCTGAATACAATATGTGCATATAGCCCAGTGCCAAGATGACTGTTTTTGAATGAATGGAAAAGACATTCCTAGGGCTCAAGTGATAACTTCCCTGCCTAGCAAGTGCAGCGCCCTGAGTCCAAACCCTAGTACCACAGGAAAAAATAAAAAGATTTTCCTAGAAGCTATTGAACTTTATAGTAGTGGCTAAAACTATCTCTACAACTGAGTAGCGACCAAATGGTATGTGCTATGGATTGAATATGGTTTGTTTCCTCCAAAATACCTCATTGAGTAGTAATTAATATCTCACAATATCTCCTAAGAGATAGGATGAAGTGGACCTTTCTGAGGTGACTGAGGCTTGGTCCTCATGAGTAGACCCCATTTAGGAAATTAATGGATTCACTGGTTGTTTAGAGTGTGTCTTCTGTAAAAGCCAGTTTGGTGAGGTCTCTTATGTCTCACAGATGCCCTGCACTGCCTCAGCACCCTGCCAACAAGAAGGCCATCACCAGATGTAGCACCTTGACCTTACACCAGAGCCAAGAGCCATAGTAAATCTCTTTTCTTCAGAATTTACCCAACAGGTAAGTTAGCAACAGAAAACATTCTAAGACAGCATGGACTGCTGCTTTAGACAGTTCCCTGTGCTAATACTCTAAGCCTTGGATGCTCAAATGAAGGTATCAGAAATACATCTCAAATTACTGTTGCTTTTCTAAGCTTCTTCAGGTGACCTACCCTTTCTGTAACCATTTTTCTGAACAAGGAATAAGACTAGAATAGAGAATCTTCCTTAAATGGTAATTTAAATTTCAATTTAAAATTTCAAAATGCAGTACTAACAGATTGTGAGAAGTGGGCTTAAGGGAGCTGGAGGCATGGCTAAGCTGTATTGTGCCTGCTTATCAAGTGTAAAGCCCTGAGTTCAAATCCCAGTACCAACAACAACAACAAAAAAAAGAAAGAAAGAAAAGAAAAAGAAAAAAGAAGAGTAGATTTAACATAAACCCTATGATCACTGTTTCTTTGAGTATCGTCAAATTATCTGAATTAATTGTTGTTGTATAGCGCTCCATGGTCCTTCCTAGGTTCAAATCTTAAGGCTGCATACCCCAGTATGTGAAGTATATCTCCTTTGTGGGGCTGTGCAGCCTGCCCAACGCTGTGCACAGTCAGTGTGCATTGGCTTCTGTGTTAATTGTGTGGTTTGATTTGCTTCTTACTTGCTCTGGGGCATTTACAGTCATATTTACCTCTATCGTAAAATACAACATCTGTTTGGTGAATTTGATCTCTCTAAATTGTTTGGGATCATCTTCCTTCCTTCCCCAATTTTTAAAAAAACCTTTACAATCTACAAGTGTCAGTTGTTTTAAGGCCATTTTTCTTTCTTTCTTTTTTGCAGTACTAGTGTTTGAACTCAGTGCCTATACCTTGAACCACTCCACCAGCCCTTTTTTTGTGATTTTTTTTTTTTGAGATAGGGTCTCTCGAACTATCTGCTGACTTTGAACAGTGATCCTCCTGATCTCTGCCTCCTGAGTAGCTAGAATTACAGGCGTGAACCACCAGTGCCCAGCTTAAGGCCATTTTTCTGATTGCTCAGGCTTTGCCTAGGAATGATTGCATTTTCAAAGACAACATTCTGGAAGCCCTTGGTCTTTACTTATTGCTCTTAGCCCTCTTGGCTCTTGTAACTTTCTTGCTCAAGTCTTGGGTTTGTACAAATCCTTTAGCGTGAGTTAACGGGCACTAGCTAGCTGGACTGTCCCTTCCTGGGACATTCCTGGCTTTCTACCCACCCATGAGGGTTTAGAGGCTGGGTAAAATGCAGCAGTACTAAGGGCAGGACCCACATGGTGAGCTGAGGCTCACTGGCACACTTCTCTCTTACAATCTCTGAGTGCCCTGGGAGGTTTGAGTTGGGCACAAGGAGTTAGGCCTCTGCATTTTGCTGTGAGTGGCAGTAACTAGGAATGCTTCAGAACACATGGCTTCAAAACACTGCTGACATCCTTTCTTCCTGTGATCTTTGAAAACAAGGGCCAGAGGAGACCCCCAAGAATAAGGGATGTTAGGAAAAGGGAGAAGAAGTAGAGTTCTGTACCCAAGGAATTAAAGGAAAGTTTATGACCAGATTTTTAAGAAAAAAGTTTAACATGCAAGTACTCATAGTTTCAATGAGTTTTCTTGAAGAAACTGCTAGAAGAAGCAGCCAAATAAAAGATGTGCCGTGCCGGGTGCTGGTCGCTCACGCCTATAATCCTAGCTACTCAGGAGGCAGAGATCAGGAAGATGGAGGTTCAAAGCCAGCCCAGGCAAATAGTTCGTGAGACCCTATCTTGAAAAAATCTTTCACAAAAATAGGGCTGGTGGAGGGGCTCAAGGTGAAAGCCCTGAGTTCAAGCCCCAGAACTGCAAAAAAAAAAAAAAAAAAGATGGGGAAATTATGACAAAAGAAGTGAGAGTACATTTTGAATTTAATGAATTAGAATCTAAGCTCCAGGGACTCTGGTTCTAGAACAAATTACAAATAGACCATATAGAAATGAGCATCAGATTGCTACTTGAAGGTAGGTCGGGGGTGAAAGAAAATGTAAAAAAAAAAAAAAGTAGGATAAAGTAGGCCATTTCATCGTTTAGTGTCTTGGAGTGGTATTATAAATAGCGGTGTAAGATAAAAGGTAAACATTAAAAAATAAAATACCCAACTAAAATCAAGTAGTGGAGGAGAAAGGAAGAAAATAATGGAAGGTGGAAAAGTAATAATTTTGGGATTAGTCGCAGTCTTAAGCTAGTTATAAAAGAGGACCATTAAAACAAAAAAATTAACTCTTCAGAAGAACTCATTGGAAGAAACTGAACAGATATAAAAATCCAGGAAAACCATACTGTGAAAAGATTTTTAGAAACAAGACATTAAAGTAGCTAAGAACAAACATTCCCACCAAATCAGTCAATGGACTTGACTGAATCAGATGGAACAGCAAAGAGCACAGCTATAGGCTGAAAAGGATTCACTGACTCAGAAAGGAAAGAAAGTGGCCATGCTCTTACCCTTCCACAGCTGAACTGTGGGCAAAAAGGAATCATTCATATGTGTCCAAAAGAAGCAATCAACAGGGCGTGATCTCACAGTCAAGGAAGCTTGGCTATCTGTTTACAAATGGCATAGAATAACATAAGGATATATAGAGAGAGGTTCTCTAACCTTTCAGGCCACAAAAAGTAGACTGAAAATGGCAAAAAATAAGGACACAGAGAACCAAAAATAATAACAACATGATGTAATCAGCATTGACTGAACTCTGTAACCTGGACAGAGAATATATTGTGCTCAAGAAGCTACTTATTCCCCAAATCTGTTCTCCTCCATTTCCTTTTGACAGAATTCTGATGGGCTGGGGACATGGCTCAAGTGGCAAGGCCCTGAGTTTAAACCCTAATACGAAAAAAACCCAAACCAGACCAAAAAACCCTCTGAATTTTAGCAAGCCCTAACCCTGCCAGCATAAAGATTATTCCCAACTTCCCTTGTGGCTGTTGGACAGTGGCCCAAAGCAGGGCAGTCAGTGAAGTCTGTGGACCTCTTTCGGAATGTTTTAAAACATAAAATCAAAGGCATAGGAGTAAAAGGAAACCCGTTATAGATAAAGTTATTAAAATATTACCACAAATTTTTATATATGTATCTCTATAAGCATATGTATCTCTATTAGCCAAGTTTTAAAAACCAAACAAAATAAGGCCCAATGGTAAGTTCAAGTAACTACATCAATTTCAATGTCCTGTGAATTATATTTGCAACAGATATGAATTCATTTCGCTTTTTGCATATGTTGCTTAATGTAGTGAGGGCCCTTCTGTCTTTTGAATCTTTTTCAGGCAAGGAGCTCAGTCTCCTTCTGGTCTTAGGGAATGAATGTGCCCCTCTCCAGCTCAGGCCCTCTGGTAGGCCTCCCTATCTATCCCCCTGCCCATCTCTTAGGAAATAACCATAAGAGGATACACCTGGGAGAGTATGAGCCCTGGTGCATTGATTTATATGTAGTTGGAGAGCTTCATTCACTTCTGGATCTGTCTATATCATTGTCTAGTAAATCTAGTAGAAGAGATAAAAGAGTATCCAAAACTAAAGGCATTGTGTTCATTTGCACTGTGGCCATTTAGATTCTTGAAATATATAGCAAGTAAATGATATAAGAGTTCTGTTTACTTGTCTAAAAACTGATGTCATGATTTTTCTAAAACTGTTTTTTTTCCTGCACAGTGGAATGCACGAGTCCTGGTTATATTTAGAAGATGAAATGTATAGCTTCCAACCTTATTCTGAAGGCTCCTGGAGGCCCCAGCGTGATTGGTGTGCACAGTGTCCACGTGGTGGCGCCACTCCACCAGGGTTGTCAGATAACAGCTGAGTTGAAGGCCAAGCTCTGGGCCCAGCAGGCTATTGGCTCTGGGAGCAGGAAACTGATTAAAACTATTAATATTCTAAGCCATAATTTTAATTTTATATATTATAATTGTTTGCTTCACACATTGTCTAGGGTGGTTATATCTAGTAAGTAAATGTGATCCTTGTCAAAAAGCACTCTGACATCACTGGCCAAATCTGAGACAAATTGAGAGCCTGCTCCTTACTTAGGTTAAAAAAAAAGAAAACCCAAATAAAAAACAGTGATAACAAAAGATGGATTGATGGATGATTGGAGGGTGACATAGATGAGTAAATATGCAATAAGACAATTATAATAAAATGTTAACTATAGAATGCAGATGCTGGGTATATAGGTACTCACTATGAAATTGTTTGAACTTTTCCATGTTTGAGAATTCTTATAAAATGCAAGAAGAATCAAATAATGTTGGTAGTTGATTATAAAAATGTTAATTAAAAGATAATATTACAAACTGAGTTTTATCCCCCTAAAATTAGCATGTTGAAGCCCCAATTCTCAGTGTGACTGTATTAGGAGAGAAGACTTTTATGGAGGTCATTAAGGTGACCCTCTCTGTCACGTGAAGAGTAGGCAGCCTATAGGTCAAGAGAGGAGGCCTGAGGATGAAACCACCTTGCTAGCATCTTGAACATGGACTTCCAATCCTCAGAACTGTGAGAAATGAACGAGGCTACTCAGTCTATAGTATTTTGCTTTGCCAAAGAGAACAGGGAAATTCACAAATCTACTCTTTTCAGAAGAATGTGAGTTAATACTGAAGAAGTAAAATCATCATTTTGTAATTTTCAAATAATTCAGTTATTAAGTCATGAATGGATGCTAAAATAATTTGAGTGAACTGTGCTGAGGAACTGGATGTTCATCTAGTCCAAATATCACTCCTCAGATTACTCAGCAATCAAAGGAGAAAAACCACACCATTATAATGGAGTGATCCGCCCAGCCTAACCAACTCTTCACTATACGGGACCAATGGACCTGTATAGGTCAGATTCGTCCTGACGTGAATGCAATTAAAACACACGCCATCATCTATATGAGGTCTGTCACAAATGTTGCATCTGAATCAAATCCTGAGAAACAACCATTCAAATGCTGAAAGTGAGACATTTCAATAAGGCATCTGAGCTGAACCACTCAAAATGCCACTGTTGGGCTAGTGGTGGGGGGGATGGCTCAAGTGGCAGAGCATCTGCCTAGCCAACATCAGGCTCTGAGTTCAAAACCCATACCACCAAAAAAGAAAAGAGCCACTGTCATGAAAAACAAATACAAACAAATGCTGCAAGAGAATAAAGAGAAACAAACAAAATTTTTTTTAAAGTTGTAAAAGATACTTGAGACATTGTAGCACTAACAATATACAAGATGAAACTGAACCAATGTTAATTTTCTGAGTGGGGAAAGAATCAGCCACTCTTGTGACATGATGATAAACCCGGAAGGAACTCCAGAGAGATGAGTAAACTAGGGCAAAATCAGAAGTGAGAGTTTGTGTGCATGCGTACAGTCTGTGCATGTGTACAAAAGCTCAATAACAAGGGCTCTCTCCTTGACCGGGCTCTAGTCAGGTTCTTCTAAGTCCTCCTCTCATTGAGACCTTTGACCTCTAAAAATTGCACTCTCAGAACAAATGATTTCACCCACCCTCCCACAATAAGAGATTTGAACAAACACTGATATAGCTTCTAAAAGCTCAAGGCTTCATCCCTGTGACAGGCCCAGGTCCCCTTAAAATGCCTGTCTGAGAAAGCTCAGTGCTGCCTGGAGAATTTACTAAATCTTGAGAAAGGCAGACTCCAGACCCCTTAGAGCAGTGACTTTGCAAAGCTTACCATGCAATACTTTCTCTGCCCCTTTGAGATGTGAGTCTTCTCCTACCCAGCTCTGTCTTCCAGACTCTTTGAAATGCAGACATTCAAGAAACTCTCTCTTGCTTCAATCTGCCTGGAAGGGCAGGAGCCCGGCTTGCATAAGTGCCAGTTAGCAAACCAGTAGGTTTCACCCTGATCAGTCTCCCACCCCTTAGTGCTTTTTGCAACTTCCACTCTTCTGACACCACAGCTTCTCACTCACCCCTCCCCATTTCCTCGTTCTTCCTCCAAAAGCCCACTGACTTCTGTGCCGAGTGAAATCTGCCCCATTACTTTTACGGAAGTTAACATCTGCCTTTGTTCTTCGACAATGACCATGTTTGGGATAAGACTGAAAGGTCCGAGCCAAAATTTTCCATTTCTCTGATTTTTAAGATTTCTCCCAAGTCAGGAACTTGCTAAAAAATCATATAAATGCAGAATTGTCCACTTGACAAGCTATCACTGCCACAGAAGTTTGAACTTGGGGCTTTGTACATACAAGGCAGGTGCTTTACCACATAAGCCACATCAACAGCACTTTTTGTTTTAAGGCATTTTTCAAATAGGGTCTTGCAGAGGGCTGTCCTGGACTGTGATCTTTCTATTTATGCTTCCTACATAGTTGGGATTGACAGCTTTTTATTGGTTGAGATGGAGTCTCGTGAATGTTTGGTCCAGGTTGGCTCCTAACCAGTCTTCCTGATCTCTACCTCCCAAGTAGCTAGGAGTACAGACTCAAGCCACCAGGCTGGCATCTTTCATTCTTACTGAGGGCTCACACTTGTGATGATACTTCTTGTTGGATTGTGTGTGATTATTTCAGCCTGATTCCAATTTCTCATTATTGTTTCTTGCCTTTTTCTGACTTAGGTCAGATTGTCTGACTTAGAGGAAGAACTTCTACAATCCAGAGAGAGAAAGATCACCTGTGATGTCACCCATGTCTTGAGAAGCTGATCCTGAGAGCAATAATGCCTTCACCCCTCACACTGTGCCAGCCACAGCGGGCTGCACTTCCCAAGTGACACCGCTTAACCTTCATGCGGTGGTCTGGTGTGTCCCCCAAAGTTCATGTGCTGGAAACTTAACCCCCAAAACAACAGAGTCAAAAGGTGGGAACTTCAGCCCTGGCTAGGGCCTCACTCATGAGGGCTGTGCCATTTCGAAGAGATTAATGCTATTATTGAGGTAGTGGGTTCTTTCTCAAGAGAGTAGATTTGCTGTAAAAGTGAATCTGGCCCCTCTTGCTCTCTTGCCCACTTTCTGCCATGGGATGACATAGAAAGATGTTTGCCAAATGGAGTGCTGTGATCTTGACTTTCCGGCCTTCAGAACTGTGAGCAATATATTTCTTTGCTTTATAAGTTACCCTGTCTCTGATATTTTGTTATAGTAGTGCAAAATGGACTAAGACTCTCCTTCTTTTGATTCTTCAATATTTGCATTACTATTAATTTTTTTTATTTCTTTTATTCATATGTGGATACAATGTTTGGGTAATTTCTCCCCCCTTCCCCCCCCATTCCCTCCCTTTCCCCTCCCCACTCCCTTGCTACCAGGCAGAAACTATTTTGCCCTTGTCTCTAATTTTGTTGAAGAGAGAGTATAAGCAATAATAGGAAGGAATAAGGGTCTTTGCTAGTTGAGATAAGGATAGCTATACAGGGAGTTTACAAACATTGTTTTCCTGTACATATATGTTACCTTCTAAATTAATTCTTCTCAAACTAACCTTTTCTCTAGTTCCTGGTCCCCTTCTCCTATTGGCTCTGTCGCTTTAAAGTTTCTGCATTAGTTCCTTTGCATTGAGGACATCAAATGCTATCTTGTTTTTTGGGGGGTTTCTTGCCTATCCTCATACCTCCCTTGTGTGCTCTCACCTTGTCATGTGATCAAAGTCCAATCTCCTTGTTGTGTTTGCCCTAGATCTAAAAGTCCACATATGAGGGAGAACATACGATTTTTGG